GTTATCCTTATTTACTAATTAGAGATAGAGTATAAAGTGCAGGCATGCTTTCTCTAGGGCTACTATTATAGATAGTAGACTAGTATTCTTAAAAAGAATTACTATTAGTATAGTTCTATAGACTAGGAGAATCTTCTTAATAGCTAGAGCCAAGATCTTTTTTAATATATCTATATACTAGCCTAAGTAGGTATTAACCTCTATATTCTAAGTATATTATTCTAGTTTTATATAGCCCTTATACCATGCTTTTATACTATAGAGTGTACTAGATAGAATATAGATAATAATTATTTTTTATAGTAAGACTACTAGTAGGCTATAGATTATTCTTACTAGATCTTATATATATTATATTACTATTCTTGCCTTAGCAGCCCTCTTTACTATATATCTCTTCTAGGAGAGCTACCTATTAAAATAGATTTCTAATTATTTAAGTACTAGTTACTTCTATTCTAGTACCTCTATAATAGGCTATACTATTAAATAATTACTAATTCTTAAGATAAGTACCTCCCTATATTATTTCCTTATAATATAGATTATCTCTAGTTTTTCTAATATAAAAGTTATTTTATTTTAATTACTCTAGGCTAGTACCCCCTAGATATCTACCTTTAGGTATCTATAGTTATTTTCTAGTATCTAGATAATATAGCTTAGGCAGAGATTATTAGCATATCTAAAGTAAAGAGTTATATTTTATAGGAGTAATTCTACTATATAAAGTAAAAAGAAAACTAGAGATAGAGATAAGCCTTATAATATTTTATAGAGTACTAGATTTGCTTCTATTAATATTATTTCTAGTTAGATCCTAGTAAGCCTGCTGGTTAGAAAGCTATTAATAAGGATAACTAGGGTCTAGGGCTATTCTTATTCTACTATTTATTTTAATAATTTATATTATAGGAGAGTATTAAAGGCCCCTAGTATATTTATTATAATTATAATTACTTTCTTATTCTAGGTAAGAGCTATTTCTATATTATATATATAGGCTATGACTAGATCTATAGTAAAGTATTAGGGAAGTATACTATATTATTATAAGCTTAGGATCTTATATATAAGTATTATATATATAATTCTCTAGACTACTATTCTCTTTAGGCCTTTATTAATTATTAATAGTAGGGTAATTAATTTTTAGGATCTAGAAAATATTCTATCTTATTTATTTATTTTAAGGAGTATAACTATCTCTATAATCTTTTATAGTATAGGGAAGTAGCTTAGCTATAGGTATTTATTATATAATTTATATATTACCTTGCCTATAAATTCCTAGTAGGCTTTTAGAATCTATACTATAACTATATTCTCTCTAGGGGAGATATTACTTATTCTAATTATATTTTTTTTAATTTCTTCCTCTAATATTCTCCCTCCCTAGGGGAGATGCTTATCTCTAGTCTAATAGGCTTTTACTATAAGATTAAACTCTAGATTATTTACTAAATTAAATTATTTAAGAATAGCCTGCTAGAGAACTTTAGCCTTTTTCTAAATATTCTTAATTATATAGCTATTTACCTGGAGGGGTAGTACTTTTATTCTAGATTTTAATTTATACTAGACTATAACCTGGTAGAGCTCCTTATTACTACTAACTTTATTAATAATATCTATCTAATATTAATATTTAGCTTTTTAGATTATATTCTGGAAGTATTTCCTCTCTTCTAGGCTTGGCTCTACTAGCTACCTACTATAGGAGTCTATATATTCTACTATTTACTAGGAGGTAGCCCTCTAGCCTGGGTTAGGGGGTTTCCTAACTACTTTAATAGCTTTCTAGAGTATCTCCCCTAGGTCCCCTATATACTAGTCTAGTGCTAGTTTATCTAGTAGGCCTTTTAAATCTAGAAGACCTGTTATCCTATTTTATACTAGTCCTGCTAGTTATTTTAGGTCCCTATCTAGAATCTAGAGTTATTACCTTTCTAGGGGTACAGGCTTGTGCCCTAGGACTATAGTAATCTATATTTAATAATCTAAGTTATAGTACAGGTCTAGGCAAACCTCTGTATATATAAAGGCTATATTAGAGAAAATTAGGTCTAGAATATATCCTATTATATAGGTAGCTACTTCTGGCTCCCCTATATATTCTATTTTATTATTAACTATTTATTATACAAGCTCCCCTCCCTTATAAAGATTTTATACTCCTAGCTTAAAAATATTATATATAATATTAAAGTTACCCCCTATAATATAATTAGGGGTAAGAATTAATATTACTATATAATTTATTATCTTATATATAGTAGGTTCTTAATATATATTTAGTACCTAAATATTATTTATTATTATCTAGAGTAAGTTCTAGCTTTTAATTAGTTTATATTATTCTGCCCTTAGGCCTGGGTCCTAGTATATATATATAAGTACTCTAGATTACTTCTCTATTTACCCCTCTAGGTCCCCCTAGCTATTAACTAGGGAGTAGTAATTAAATACTAGATAATTTTATATTTTGGTCCCTAGGCCTGTCTATAACTCCTATATATAGGCTATAGTATAGCCCTGCTTATAGGCTAGCTATAAGATTATAGTATAGTTTAATATTAATTTATTAATATTAGCCTAGTAGATCAAGAGATCTTACTAATACTAGGCCTGTTTTATATAGCTCCTGCTATATCTTATCCTAGGTCTCCCTAATATTAGATATTAGGTAATTTATTAATATTAGTCTCTACCTTTAGAATTCACGTACTTACTGCCTACTTAAGGCTTAGAAAGGTATAGAGGCTTTAGGTAAAGAGCTCTTTTAGATTTATATTACCTATATATATAGTAGCCCAGGTTAAGTACTATTCTATAATCTAGAAACCCTTTATATCTATATCTAGTTATAGGGGTACTTCTACTATATACTTATAGGAGTTTAGAAGTTAGGCCCTACTTATTTCTATATATAATTATACTATTACTATTATCTAGTTATAGATATCCTAGAAAGTATATATCCTATAATACCTAATATATACTAGGTCCTATTTAGATAGTTTAATAAGAGAACTATTAACCTTATATAAGGCTATAGGGTAGCTCTTATACCCTGCCTTAAATAATTTAAAGTAATTAGTATAGTAAGGAGAGTTACTATAGTTTAGCCTTATAGACCTAGTATAGTTCTTAGTTAGTATACTATACTAGGTATAGCAGGGCTATCTTATATACTTTAAGGGGTGGTAGTATCCCTAATATTCTAGATTATACTACTCTATAGGGGCCTACTTCTTAATAAATTAAGATTACTAGTTATTATTAAATAGGGTAAAGTTCTTAGTAGGTATTAAAAAAAAGATTATTTAGGTTATATATTTTATTTATATGTCTAGTCTATACCTTAATAGGTAGTAGTTAACTAGCTTTATACCTGTTTATACTAGTACCTTATCTACTATTAGTATATTTATTTCTAGGTATATACTATTATAAGATACTATTATATTAGATACCCTAGATACTATATAATTATACTACTTTTATAAGATATAGATATTAATTATATTTAGTACTTTTTTTATAGTACTTATTACTTTTTCTATTACTAGAAGATCCTGGATAATAAGGTTACTTAAGATAATTATTTATCTAGTCCTAGTTAAGTTAATCTTAAGTATTATACTAATAGTTATAAGCTCTAGAATATACTTTACTAGGGCTTGATATATTATATAGGTTTTAAGGTGTGTAAGAAGAAGCCTCCCTAGTAAAATAATTAGGATTCTATAGTTATCTCTAGTATTTATTAATATGGTTAACTTACTCTAGGCTAATCTTATTATGGTAGCAGGGCTAGTCCTATTTAAATTAGGTATAGGCTACCTAATATTATATACTCTAGCTAGTATGGGTCCTCTTTCTAAGTTTTTTAGGGTCTGTATAGCCCCCTAGGCTATAAACTTGCTAGAGGTCTTGCCTAAGGTTACTAATATTATTATTATAGGCTAGCTATATACGCGCATGGGCATATAATTATCTATAGTAGTATATTTCTTAATAGTAATAAACTAGATAAATCTATTATAGATTATTATTATATAGGCCCTCTTATCCTGACTCTTTTAGGTATTAACAAGCTTGTCTACTATAATAGCTAGCTTGGCCAGTACCTTATAACATGTTTTTGCCTGGCATTTCTCCTTATTAAGGTAACCCTGAAGGGTTCTTGTGGTAGAGCCTAGGTTAGTAGTTAAGGTGCTAGTACCTTTATAGACTAGGGGAGGTATATAGTTTAGTAAGATACTCTTTTTTCTATATCTTTTGGCAGCATGTAAGTTTGAGGGGAATGGAGGTTCTTATGGCCGTGTAAAATTAGCTGTGTTAATACCTCTAGGTAGGTAGTTAGGGGTCAGTACCTCCATCTCAGCTCGCCACGTGTCGAAACATGGTTGGAGGAGGGGGGGAGGGGCGGAATGTGTAATAGTAGGTCAGAAATATATATATTGGTTGGTTTTGTAGCGATTTGGGCCCTTATTCAAAGGTACCCCTGGGTCGCTGAGTGTTGTAAAGGTCCTAGGCGGACGGAGTCATCCTAAGCAGAGTGCATTCATTTCCATACTATACTGGCTTTGGTAGAAACCCGCAAATCTGTGGGCTGAAACAGCTAGCCACGAGTCTCCTGCATAGAGTCGCAGGCTGACGGCGTTTTGATTCAGAGGCTGCATGTTGCCACGCATACGTGCCCAAGCTAGCATTTGGGAGTACCTCCCACAGTCTTGATCGTGCTTCGGGAGATTAGCGAGCAAAACCTGGGAGTCATGAATTATTGAAAAGAGTACGGAGTATCCGCAGTTTCAAGATAACAATCGGCAGCCCAAACCCGGTCCACCAAGGGCTTCCTACGAATGGGAGACCGCAAAGGACGCCAACCCCGACCTTATTTGACATTGTCGGCAGATGTACCAAGCATGAGGTAGTCGTAAAGGTTGTGTCAACAACCTCCACAGGCTTCTTTAATTAGAAGTAATGATGACAAGTCAAACACGATCGTCCGCGGGAAAGAAAACTGGGTCCCAAAAGTTTGTGGGTAGCGACAAATCCAAAAAGTCGTCAAAGAGCGTGTCAATGTTAGCGAAACCGTGGCTGCGGTCTGGGTCCTGGATGTCACTTTGATGCCGGTCCACCGGCAGGGGTGCCTCGTGTTCTGGTATTGCAGCCGCATGAGGCACGTCACTCATGATACGATGGTGATGGTGATGAGAATTACTATCGTAGGATGATACCGGTACATTCGCTATCGATGGTCTTTGGTTTTCTTGCCTTGTCGCATTACTATTATTATGTTCACCATCGTCGTGATCGTCGTCATTAGCGCCCGAAGACGGCCGAGAGCCTTGGCCTTTAAGCGTTATTCCTTGAATATGGCGTAGTGCTTTTCGTCCTAACCGTGCCATTGCTTCTGCCGAATACCAATAAACCCCTAGCTCTTCAAGCAGATCACAGCTCGCTTCCAGGCTAGCCTTAGCACGGTCAAAATGAGTAATCAGCCTACTAGAGCGAAATTGCTGGTAGGAAACACCCATGGAGAGGGCTACTGCGTACGGAACGATGGGGAGAGGAGGTAGATTCCCGGAACATTCGGTAGCCACCAGGGAATAGATCCGAACCGCCGCCAGCCCTTGACGGGCATAAGACGGTTTAGAGTCATCAGGGCGATGAGATAACTGTGACCTGCATGAAAGGATACTAACGGCATAATAGTAGAGTTCCAAACCCCCTGGTTTAGTGTCTGTTAGTGCAGGGGAATGGAAAGGGGGTTTGAAAATAGACACACCAAGTGTAGAGGCATCCAACTCCTCTTGTGCATGAGGATCTCCTATGATTTCTTCGAAAGCCGGGTAATCCGTTTCCCATGCAATTGTCAGATCGGCGAATGGCCTATAAAGAGATATTACTCTAGATAGTAGATCGGAAAGTGCGAACCAAACTTCGAAGGCAGATCTAGATCGCCGCGCTTTCAAGTCAGGTCTTTTGATTCCAATATCGCGGTCCGCAAGAAGAATAGGGCGGCCACCGATGCATGCGTGCATCTTGTCCAGGGTCCAGAGACTCCAGAAAAGGGTTGTTAGAGGGTCTCCCTCAAGACGATCGGGTCGTTCAAGATGTAAACCAACCGTCTGCGCTTGGTGAATGGCCTGGCAGAGATGCATTGACGCTACCTCGGCACCTTCATAACCCTCAGAATGCAAGGACATCAAAGCCAAGACACGAATCCTAGTAAACCTATCAACTTCAAGTCCAGCATCCATAGCAGAAACGAGGCCGGCATATATCTCAGAACAGAATTGCCGCGCTGTTATAGAGGGACCATCGGGAACAAGATGAAGGTGAGCGCTAGCCGCTTTGTCCTTCGCTGCAATGAGACATACTGCCCTCTCTAGGAACACCGACGTTGCTCCTTTTCTAAACGTGGGGAGAAAAGATCCTTGATCAACAAGGGGCAAAATATGATTCACTCTCGAGAAATAGATAGGGATCAGGTGAGCCAGAGTCGAACATGGAAGGCGTTGACAAGCCTTCAAAGCAGACGAATATCGTTGGTGCAGAAGAGAGGTAACGGAAGGGTTCTCAAGAGCATGTTTAGCTGAATATCCCGCCCGAGAATTGGCTGTATCGAAAGTGTCTCTTTCATTTCCTTCACGATCTTGTGGAACAGGAGTATTGATCCAAAGCCCAACCCGGTCCCGAAGGTGAGTCCCACCTGAAGCTAACTGCTCACGAATAACGGCTTCCGGGTTGAGATCTCCTACAAACCGTTCTATCCGTGGGATCTCTAGGGAAGAAGGCATAGCTAATCTTGTTCCAGCCAGTTCATCATCCATTAGCGAACTCGCTGCTGGTTGGTGACCAGAGGAACTCACGACAGTGCTCTGAATCTGGGCGGTGTTCAAGCTGTCAGGACCAAGATGACGGCAGCGTTTCTTCAATCGTTAGAATTTATTATTCTCATTATGATTATTATTCCTTTTGGAGTTGAAAGAAGCAGTACTACACCTTTCTCTTTTGGCAGTTGGAACAGGCACGCAGTGCTCTTGTTCTCCGCCGCGACTGCGGAGTATTGGCTATCCAGGTAAGCTCCATCTTATGGTTTAAACGGTTTTACCTCGAAGATGGATCAAAGGAAAAGGAGGGCATTTTGTATTGTTGACTGAGGATTTTAAGACCTTTTCCTCAGCAGCACCGTAGGATCTTGAAAGAGACCTCTCCGTGTATGTACGGAACGCGCAGCCTTCCACTTTGGTAAAGAACTGATCCCAACTTCTACAAAGTTCAAACATGATATATAATAATGCCTTTACATGAAAATTTACCTAATTCTGGGGAATCCACAAAGACCTTGGAGCTAACTAGTTAACTAACTAGGTAGCTAACTATCTTTAATTGCTTAGGCTCGGGACACGACCAAGGAGACGCGTCAAACGCGTTCGTTCGCTCGTATTCCAAGCAGAGTCAGCCGGCGAGAGCTTCTGGGGATTGGTAACGATGTATTCCTTTCGTCTATTGAATCTCTCTCTCAATTAATTGAAATGCAAATCATAACGTCTTCCATCCCTTTGACAATTAGTCTTCACTCTCATCCATTTGCCGGTTCGAAAACCGTTTCGGGCGGGTCCCTTCTCTTGCATTCATTCAACCCAAGTTAACTCTATCTCCGGGGCAATATGGCGAGTCCAAGCTTGAAGCGAGGAGCCGGCCATTTGGCGGCTCCAGTGGTTGATGCAAAGAAATCGAAATCTAACGGCAGCATCACTTCTTTCTTTGGTGTACCCAAGTCCTCCAGTGCTACCAAGTTGACGACGGCTTCTGCCCCATCTCCCACGTTCAATAAGCAGAAATGGGTGTCCACGCTGACTGCAGAGCAAAAGGAGCTTTTGCAATTAGAGATCGATACCCTCGATGAGACTTGGTTGGCACATCTCAAGGAAGAGATCGTCAAGCCAGAGTTTCTAGCCTTGAAACGCTTCCTTCAGAAGGAGAAGCAGTCGGGAGTCAAGATCTTCCCTCCTGAGAATGAGATATACTCTTGGTACGATCTTTCTTTTTCTTCCCCATGATAATGAAAGCTCTCCTATCTGGTTGTTTCGGTATCTAATGCATGTGTGAATCACCCCTCTAGGTCTCGCCTGACACCACTCAACAAAGTGAAAGTAGTCATCATCGGCCAGGACCCGTACCACAACCACAACCAGGCCCACGGCCTCGCATTCTCAGTTCGCCCACCTACACCTGCTCCTCCATCTCTCGTCAACATCTACAAGGGCATTAAGAACGATTACCCGTCATTCCAGCCTCCTCCCAACAAAGGCGGCCTTCTCACGCCATGGGCAGAGCGGGGGGTGTTACTCCTAAACACTAGCTTGACAGTGCGAGCACACCAAGCTGGTACCCACTCAAAGAAGGGTTGGGAGAATCTGACTCAAAAGGCGATCGAAGTTGTGGCTCGAGTCCGCACCCGCGGCGTAGTTTTCCTTGCATGGGGTGAGAATGCCAAAAAGTGTGTGGCAAAGACCGGCAAGGACAAACATTGCGTGTTGTATTCAGCTCACCCAAGTCCACTGAGCGCATCGAGAGGTTTTGTAAGTATACATCTCCTCCCCTCCAGCAGCGTGTTCCTACGAGCCGATACTAACAAGACGACGCTCTTGCCGCAGTTCACAAACCAACATTTCAAAAAATGCAACGAATGGCTTTCGGAACGCTACGGCGCTGACGGGATCATCGACTGGAGCCTCACAACTGTGACAGAAAAAACAAGTGCGCCTCTGGCCACCATTCAGAGTTCCTCGGTAGTAATTAACTCCAAGGAATCCCTTTCCTCGGAGGATAAACCGTCCCCGTCTAAACCTGCTGCCGAAAAAACAGCGTCTTCAGACAAACCCACTCTGGCAGAAGACGACGATGAATTCGAGGATGACCTCGACGCTCTCGAGCAGCTCGTGGCGTCAGCGGAATCAACAGGGGAAAATCAATAAATGCGTGGTGAAAATGCAGAAAGATCAGTTATCGTCCTCCTCGATTTACTTGGAATTGGCACTGTTGCGGAAAATCCTTTGGTCAGCGGCTTTTTTCAACTTCCTTTTTTTTTCATTCATTCAGTTCTTTTCTTTTCTGTTCTTTGGTCGTTCCCCCTTCCCCTCCAGAGACGGCCTAACTAAAGCTAGACGTGTTTGAGATAATACTTGTTCGGGCAATCTTTTTTTTTTCCTGCTGCTCCCATGATGAGCATTGCGGGTTTTCTTATACGGTTTCTTTGACATGCGGGGAAAATGTTGGACTAGGATTGTTCTATGGATTTGCCGAATGGCGTTTGTGTAGCTAGCAATCAATACATTGATTGGACCTGATACGGAGTACTCAAGTTTGTTCTCGATTTTTTTTTTTTTTTCCTTTTATATCAACCGAGAAGGTATACTTCTTATTGTTCACTCCTTGAGTTCGTCGAGACTACAAAATAACAGACCAGTTTTTAGAGGCGCACACAGTACCTACCTACCACGCCGCACTAAGTCACACTACTTACTATCCAGACAGTCAAGGAACAGGACGAGGTACGAAATATAACAGTCAACCCTGAAAAACAATAACCACACTGTAAACCGATAGTACAACTCATAATATTCGACGATTTATCTTGCTACCAATACATTGAAATTACAATTCGTCATGCTCAGCCTTCTCGCCAGTTGCGGAAGGCTCAGCCTCCTCAGACGTGGCGGAAGGAGTCTCGGTAGCTTCAGCGCTTTCCTCAGTCTCCTCGGGCTGGGCATTGAAAGCATCAATCTTGTACTTGCCGTTGTCCCGGACAAAGTTGGCAAGGTCCTCGATGGTGCGAGAGCCAGAATAGTCAACTGGAGCATCCTTAGAGCCAGCAGGGAACAGCTTGATAGTAGGGAATCCAGTGATAGAATCAGGGACATCGTTGGCAGTGGCGTCAATCTTGGCAATGGTAACCTTAGAATTGAAGTCTTCGTTGCTGGTGTACAAAGCAGCCAACTCATCGTACTTGGGGGCAAGTCTATTGAGAATTCATCAGCGAGCAATTCAGGCACAGAATTAACTGAGGGAAACTTACGACTTGCAGTGACCGCACCAGGGGGCGTAGAATTCAAGGAGAACATCCTTGTCGTTGTCAAGGACAAGATCCTTGTAGGAGTGGGCAACAACCACAGTGACAGGGCCGTCCTGGGTTTCGGGGATAGGTTCGGACTTGATGCTGGGCTCCACTTTACCATCAAGGACATCCTGGATGAACTGGCCAATTTCCTTGGCAGAGAGTTCCTTAGACTGGTCGTAAGGGTACTTGGTGTTCTTCACGGGGTCCTGGATGGCGAATGCGGGGAACTGCTTGGGGTCAAGGTTGAGGTTTCCGGCATGAGCACCAAAGGCTTTAGCATCAATGGTGGCGATGTTGATAGCACCCTTGTGCTGCTCTGCGATAGGCTTGAACTCCTCGGCGTACTGGTCACGCTCTTCCTTAGTTTCAGCGAAGATGTAGGCAAGGGGAATGCCGGCCTGTGATAAAATCAGATCAATCAGTATATTGCAATTCAACCCTGGCAGTTGGATCGAATCCCCTGTGAAAAACCCGCCGGGTTCGTGGAAATGTGACATACAGTAATGTATCCAGAGTAAGTCTCGGGGCCGACTTCACCGACCAGTGGGGTGCTGGCAGTCTTCACCCAGCTCAGGAGAGCCTCGGTCTCGAGCGAGCCATCATAAATAGCCTTCTTCTCATCAAAGTCCTTGTAGAGGATGACGGAAGGTTGCTTCGCACCCTCTGCGTCGGCGATAGCGGCGTCGCTTGACGAGGCAAACAGGTAGTTGTCTCTCTGGGATTCAGCGAAGCTTGTGAAAGCCTCGGTTGAAGCCTTGTCGTCCTCAGCGAAGTAACCAACCACAACAATCTTGTCCAGGCTCTTGACCTCCTCGATATTCTCTGCGGTAACGATGGAAACAGCAGGAAGGGATTGCTTAAGCATGTACGAGACGATACTATAAGAAGCACATGACTTGTTAGTTTTTTGTTTGTTTTGTTTTCAAAATCGATTTGAACAGAGCTGAAGCAAAAACAAACAAACAAACAAAAATGTCGAGCTTTCGGAAAACGGAGGAGAATGAATTACTTACGCCTCCTTCTGGCGGGCTCCAGCGTAGGGCTTGACAGTCTCAGGGCCGCGGAAGACCTTGAGGGTTGGGTAGCCCTCAACTCCCTGACCCTTGCACAGTTCCTCTTCCTCAGTACAGTCCACCTTGACGAGGGGAATGTTCTTCTCTTTCAGCTCCGTGGCAGCTTCTTCGTACTTGGGTGCGAGAGCCTTGCAGTGGCCACACCAGGGAGCAAAGAACTCTGCCAGTACCAAGTCATGTTCCTGCATGAACTTGGTGAAAGTGTCCTTGGTCAGAGAGACGACGTCGGACGAGGCATCAGCTGGGGCATCTGAAGCGGAGACCACTGCAGCAGCTCCCAACAGGCGAATGGCCCATGGCGCGAAGGATCGCATTTTGGTATGGAGGAAATGAAATCAATGCGCACAAAGATGAAACAGTGAGATAAGAGATCGATGTCTGTCGATGACGCGGTAACCCAATAGAGCCCAAGGTTGGCCAGTCAAAGACGTAGTCGAGAGGAGGGGTGTTGGGGGGGGGAGGGGGAGGAGGAGGAGGAGGAAGAAGAAGAAGATGATGATGATGAAGATGAAGAAAAAGAAGGGAAAGGGTCCACGGTTATAGGACGATAAAGCTAGGTGGCCTGTAGAGGAAGGGGCCAGTGAATGGAGGAATGGATACCGTAGAAAGAGGACAGTTTGTTCTTTCTGCAGTCAGGTTGGCGGTGCAGCTTTCTGACTGGTTCTGGCTTGCAAGGGACGGACCACTCGATAATATGCGCCTAGTACTATTATGATGCCCCTGCAGCTTCATTATTTATGGGGGGGAGGGCTGAGCCCACTCAAGCACCCTCTAAACTGATGGGGATTTTTTAATTTTGGTACGTCCCGGTTTCCCTGGAGAGTTACCAGTTACAGGTGGCGTTATATGTATACATAATAACGTAGGTAGGGACTTAATATGTGTGGATTTATTTATACCAATCACGGTGTGGAATAATGCAGTCAAGATATATAACATCTATACCTATATTTTAACAAAGGATCTTTCTTACACAATACACATCCATAACCTAGATCTTATCTCATATTAACCCCGCGGGGTGCGGAATAAGTGTATACATATCCATTGACCCTCTCTAAACCAACCTTACAACTCCTACGTACTCAGTCGAATCTAGCACCTTATTCACAAAATGTCCCATAACTGGGTGTCTCCGGACCTTCGCGCTCCTCCAGCTCCGCTGACAGTGCAAGCGCATCCCGCTTTCCTCTCTCCACATCCACAAGTAGCATAAGCGGCAGAGGTAGAAGGATCAGGATGGCAAGGAAAAGGAATGCAGGTCGTATCTCACCATAGCGATCCGTTATGAACCCAACAATGGCCGGTCCAAATATACTTGACCCCTTGTCTGTGATCGCGTAGAGAGAATAGAAAGAGGCTTCGTATCCTGGGGGAATCAGCTCTCCAAAAAAGCTGCGACAGTAGGACGATAGCCCGCCCATGACAATACCATACACAACGCCAAGAGGAAACATTTCCCACGGTTGTTGTAGACCCAAGTAGCCGAGATCTTTAATCGCGGGGATGAACCCTAGTAGCCCATACAGGGGTACAAGCTCAAACAAAACTATGCATGCAATAATCGTCTGCGATGCGCGAAGATTAAACACCCGCGATACATAGCTCCAGGTAAACGCCCCAAATACTCCGGCCAGCATCGAAATTACATTGATCAACCCTAGCGCGGCAGGCTCCATGTTCAACTGTGTTTTAGCAAATAGAACAGCAGTTCCGCTGACAGTGGCGATCCCGTCGCTCAAAAGAAACCAGGCCGCAAGAAACAATAGGATATCTTTCAGGTGGCGGGTCCGCATTGCAGTTCGACCAAGGGACTTCCAAGCATAAGCCATATAGCCAAACCATGATCGATATTCCTTTCCTCCTTGAGCATGGAGAAGCGGGGGCCCGGGACGAGGTCGCAGCCAAAATGCCGCAGGTATCGTAAATGCGAGCCACCAAAGCCCTATAAGGAATAGGACGAGGCGCAATGAAAAGGTTGTTTGGTTGGTCTTAACAACGACAAGAATGCATATGCACTGCAGCAGCACGGCGCTGATATAGCCAATGCCAATCCCATAAGACGATATTTTGGTGGACAGCGCCAGCTCGTTGGACGTGCTTGTCAAGGTGGCTGGCGTGAGATTTTCTACCTGAGCGGAACCATCAGTCGAGTCTGCCCGAAGGAGTGGCGTAGTCGGGCTAGTGCCGTGATTTGAAGCATCATTTGTCGCTAGAGAAGGGTTACTGTTTGCGGAGGCGGCATGTCTGCTAGCATCTTTGAGCAAAGAAGGATGATGCCGAACCAATAAAGGTAAAAAGGAATTCAAGAGGACGAAAGATGCCCCAAGGCAGGTGTTCGCCACGATAGCTAATAGTGCCCCCAGCAAATAGACTGCCGGAGTAACTGGCAGAAATAGCATCGTGGAAATAGAGCCGATAAAGGCAAATATTACCAACAAAGTCTTACGATAACTTCCGTGGTCTGCAGCACCCGACATGGAAATGATCAAAACTGCCTGGACGAGAACACTCACGGAGAAAGTGTACATTGCGAAGCTTGCAGTGTTGATTTCAGCCCCCAGGATGAAAACAATGCACTGGCTCGAACCGAGTGTATTTTGCTTTGCAAACATCCAAGTTGCAGGGGAAGCGCCTGGTGAATTCCACGATGGGCTGCATGGGGTTGTCTTGTCCGATAGAAGGACGCCACGCTCTCGAGCCATTTGTTCTAGTGTAATGGGGAGGAATGATCCTACGAATCATTAGAAACAGGATAAAAATACCCAAAGAAGTTGCATCAATCTCCATACCCATAGCACAAACGGTGAAAACCTCTGCGGCCCAGCCATAGCTATACCAACCTGCAAGCTCCTTCTTGCTTGTTGGTCTAGTGTCATCGCCAGGGTACTGTGGGCGCAGGGGATTGTATTCAACGGTTGCGTCCTCTTGCATGTTTACCAACGGCGTTTCAGCTCAAACCAAATATGATGAGAACACTGGGAAGTCTGCCTCGCGGCTATTATTTTGAATGCATAGTAAAGGTGACACACAGTGTAGTGGAGGTCTGGAGCTGACTGTATTGAGCACGGCGGGTTAGTGGAATGACAATGATGCAATTCGACCAGGTAAGCTGGGTCGAAGACGATAAGATAACGAGGAAGCAGGGATAATACGGAATCTTGAGTGCTAGTGTTGAGATAGTATGTAGATGGGAATGAGAATGAATTGGATTGATGGAAGACTAAAGAGGAAGATGAGATGGCCAGCAACCCCACCACTATGGTTGAAGAGGAGAAAGGGGGTTGGTGAGAGGAGAGAGAAGTTAAAGCAAGCTCCTTACGGTGATCGGACTCGTCTTGCCAGGCACCAAGGCATAAAGGCACCAAGGCACCAAGGCATCTAGTCGTCTTTCCCCAGCCACTAACAAAGTCCAGTCCCGTGTTCATCAATCATGCATTTGCATCACAGCCGCGGACATTGTCCAGACTATCCTCTCCCCATCAACTTCTTTGAGGTATGCGTATCCTTTGAGGAATCTCACCTTTCAATATATCCCTATACTCTTCCACTGGTGTACTTTGGGCTCTGATGATATACCTGGTTTTCCCCGACCCTTGGTTCTTTTTTCCGACGTCCCCCTTCCAGTCCTTTCTTTATCTTCCAGCCCAGCGCATTTCCCACTCCTGACCAGGAGCGCAAATTCTTATGCCAGAGGCGCTCCAGTTTATTTGATCTATCACACACTTACGACCTTAAAACAACCGAGTTCTATCATCTTCAAGAATCAATTGCGCTCTCTCGTCGTGAATGTTTCGTTGCCCGCCTCGTTGATCATCAAGCTCCTACGCCCGGGTTCGAATTCACGACAAATCCTCGATCCTATTGTTCCAAATAATCCTCAACTTTTTTTGCGCTGCTTTGGGTGGTATATATGGCGCCGCGCTGAAGTTTCCCGATCGACAGGATACTATCGGCTTCCCTTCCTACCCGGCGGACCTGACAGCACCTACACCGAGTCGTTCGCGTCGCGCCGTGCAGAGGGTAAAGGAGGGGAGGGCTGGAATCACTGAGGCTTGAATCCTGTGCTCAGAACATGCCGGGCGTCGTCATGGACAATCACAAAATCGGTGGAGAGAGACGAGCATCCAATATCCATGATCAGATGAATGGTGTCTTATCTGGGCCAGGGAATACTGATCAGACAGCTAACTCTGTGGATTTACAAAATGGATCGCTTCACGTCAATGGTGTCGGGAAATTTTCCGATTCTCGCCAAAATAACAAGCCCGCTTCAATGAAAATGGTACCAGCCACATCCAGAGAACCTCCTCAGTTACTACACATTACGCAAGGGTTCTTTCCCTTTTCGAAGTTGGTTAATAGATCTGTACAACAATGCTGGAACGATTTATCGGATTTAATTGCCGAGCTGGCCGAGATCCAAGTGTCATCGCAAGACTCGGGCACGCCTTCATTATCCGCGAATGGGAAGTTACCTGGAAACCAATCCCCAGAGAATCTGCGCAAAAAAATCCGCGCCATGGAGTTTGCTCAGGCGAAACGCGCAGAGTTCATTAAACTCCTCGTTCTCTCCCAATGGAGTCGACAAGCGGCCGACGTCAGTAAATTAATCGACATCCAAAACTACATTCGTACACAACATCAAGCCTACTCGAGTGCTTTGCAGTGGATGGGGGATATGAAAAGAGACCTGGTTCAAGCACAGGTGGCCAATCCAGATCTCAAAACGGCGTTGGAGGTTTTATCTAAAGGCGAGGTCGTTTCCATGCCCGACGTAAGTCTCCTTACCCCCCCTTCTTTCGGTTGGGGGTTTTTTTTCTCGGTCAACCTAACACCTGTTTCTAGCTTGGATACAAACCTCCGAAGTCTTTGACGCCCAAGTCCACATTGAAGAAGTTGCAAAAGATCAACAGAATCATCAGTGCAAGGCTAGCATTACATGAGACTATTCCCATCCCATTTCAAACATATCGGGTTCACGACGGTCGAGTCACATTCGTCGTGCCGGACGAGTTTGAACTAGACCTATCCGTTGGTGAAGAGAGTGACACATCTCAGTTCTTCTTCGTCGATATCCGCTTCCTTTTTAACCCCTCATCTTCGATTCCGAAGGGCCGAGTCTTTAGTGAACTGGATTTGAAAGTCAATGAGATCCTCCGAACTGGCGGCCTAACGGGCTGTTTCGACTGGCTACATAGTTTGGTACTGACCAATAAAATAAATATACTCACTAAACAGGCTGGAGAATTAGCCAAAGGGTTGTGGTCAAATGTCCTGCGCATCGAATTGTTACATCGAACGCTGGTTTTGCAGTACTGGGCCTCGACGAAGCATGGAACTAAATCCTGGCTTGAAATTGGCATCCAGCGCGGCGGTCAGGCAAAGAAGCCATGGGATCAGCCCTTCCCGACTTTGGGCTTACGCTGGATGAGAGATGGGCAGGAGGTTGACCCGGCAGATGTTGAATTTGATACAGAAAATCTATCTGTGGAATCCCTCCTACGGAGTGTCATTGCCCTGCATATTTCACATATACTCTCTTCGGCATATATGGGGATCAGTGCAAAACTCCTTTTTTCAAGTGGGGTACTATCTCTACGAGCGCATTTGACAAAGACAGAACCAGGAGACTGCCAACTCGATGTGCAGCTGACAGCGTCGAGAAAACTTCGCGTTGCCATTGAGCCAATGTCAGGAGCGATAATTTTATCAGCCACGCCCAGTGCTTTAGACCGAACAGATATGGACCGCAACGTTGATCGCCCAACGGTCGATGACATAATCGCTCGTGTCTCACGCCTTCGTTGTGGTGCTGCGATAGAAGAAGTCGAGTCGAAGGTGAAGATGTTTGGTTTTGAACCTGTTAGCCCCCGGAAGTTACGGTTCGATGCCAGGAGGGTATTTCCAACGGGGGTGCTGCGTTTTAGTTTCTTCTGGAATCATCTTTGGGAGCGCAATTGGATGCTAGCGGCGACGAGCAGCATGGATGGTGACAGCTGGTGGGTGGTTCAAACTCGACCTGCGGAATCTGCCAACAGTTATCCGATTCTCGATGCAAATCTACACCCAGATCAAGCTTTTTGCTCCGCCCAAATTATTTGCAATACACTGTTTCCTCTTCAAGAAACGGGGTATTCGTCACTCGCGGATCTCGGACACTGTTTGTCAGGAGTTTTAGTCATGCATGCCAATGCTCGCTTCCTGGAGGATTTGCAGTTCCTCAAGTTCTTCCCGCCTTTGCATAAACTAAAAATTGACTCTACCCTTCAAGTCCCGGATATCATGATTCGGTATGAAGCGTCAATACTCCCCCAGGCGCTTCAGATAGCCTTGCCTGCTGGCTTTAAGAAGAAGACGCTCATCAAGGACACAATCCGCTTAGCTTTCGGGGGGATAGATCGGCAAAAGAAGGTTGCCATTATGGTGGCTTATGGCAATTTGTGCATACCTTCCCGGGCCTTCAGCGCCCTGATCCCAAAGGAAGACCGCTCTTTGGTCTTTCAAAAAACGGGTACTGGGTTTGCGCTCCGCCTGCTTGCGCCAGTTGGCTATCCTGTCCTGATCGCCCTCCTTGAAAACCTACAGAGACTTGAGTGTGTGCTGTCGATTTGCGAGACACTCCAGCGGAAGAAGATAGAGCCCCTTTCTCTATCTTTGTCGCATATATGTTTTGCTTATGGCCCCAACAAAGATCTATCGGCCCGTCTTGACATCGGAGTCTCCCAGCCTATGTCTCATATGGAAATGGACCCAGTCAAGCTTGCCTCCAGGGTGGATCGTCTATTGCACTTACACCTGGGTATTCGCTTCGAAAACTGTAACCCCCATCGCCGAATCCAAGAAACCCTAGCATCTAACTTGAACCGTCCTTCAGCCGACGTCGGTCTGGACAACATTGCCGAATTACTCTCCTTTACGCTGCCATTGATGCGAGCCTTGGATCGCCGTATGGCAAATCCATCGTATAATGAGGGTTTGAAGATGCAGGTCATCGTGCGCAGCGCAAAGTCTTTCCACATCCACTACCCCAACGACAAATTACGCTTTCAATTAGTGGCTAGCCAGCATTTGAGTCGATCTGTTTGGGTGCTCAAAGATATCGGCAGTACTCAAAATGGAACCGGCGAAGATGAAATCAGACGCCAGCTGCAGGAAAGTCTGTATAAATCTAGGGGTGAGGGCTGGAGAGGCCTCGGCAATGGAGTTGTTGCCGAGCCTGAGTTTGTTGGACACCTTCTGGACGAACTTGACAAACACCTCACTAGTATTGGAACTAGTTTACCCTCGAATCCCCTAGGTATTCAAGTCAATTCGGGCCTTCCTGAAACCGTCACCCAGCTATTGGTTAAGGGACAGGGCAGACCACCAGACCGAGCCGATAACAACAAAGGCATGCAGCAACAGCCAGGTGCCGCAGCAACACAGAATGCGGACATCATTACGATTGACTAGCGAAGTTCTTCTTGGATTCATTCTATTACTCGGGGAAAAGTCTCTTTTTCTTTTGGAGGTTTTCTGCAGGAAACCCCTATATTTTGCATTTTAAGCGGATCTGTCCCTTTTTTTTTTTTTTTTTTCCCCAGCGATCCTTGTGTTCATTAGCCTCCGGAGGTTGGTTTGTGTATTTTATTCTGCATTCGGCAGTTGTAAGTACATGGCAGGTGTTGTATGATGGCTTATATCCCAAGCTGTCTCCCCCCCGGATCTCTTCTGGCTTTTAAAGGTGGGAAAAGGGGGGGAAGATATAATTCAAGTAAACGTTATGAACTTATTTCATGTCATAATTCCCACGGAATTTAGAATTAAAAAGAAAGAAAAAATTTGAGAGTTTGCGGCTCATCTCTATCTTCGTGTCTGCTCTTCTAAATCTTGATCAATAGAGCCTTCCCAAGTGTTTCCAAACGAAGGACTACTCGAATGTTGGCTGTGCTTTCGAGCTGTCGTCCCTCAATGCGTTACGCTCATAATATCCTAGTCCGTTGGGTATCCAGTTGAAAACTCAGAAACGCTCCTCCTTCACCCGACCTCTATTTTTCAATATATCATATTCGATCCATTTCATGCAGGACAAGTCACCTTCTGGTACAAACCTTCCAGGGTTCATCACATGGCAGCCCTCGTAGGTCACGCAAAACGAAACAGCTTCAGAATCCGCTAGAATAAACGCTGTCGGTAGGGGATATAACTGCAGAGAAGATGCGTAATCCCATAACACAGGTCGTAGAGACTGAGGGAATGGCGACATGGTTCCTTGATCGAGTACTGTTTTAACAAGCTTTCGAGCTGAGTGTGTAGCAGGAGAAGCCGGGTTTGACCTATCAGCTCCCGGGTGTCCTTGGGCATCGGCTTGGTCTTCAAGATCAGCTGTACTGTTTAGACCATCTACAGTTGTTGGGTCATTCCGAGCCACGCTCACTGCGCTCCGCCTTAGACGCCCTGAAATATCGTCGCGAAGTACAGCGATGTCGTGAACTGGCCCAAATAGAGTGATGCGTGAAGGGTTACTCGTCCAAATAGCTTCTCCTCCGGGTTCGGATGTTTGGTTCCGGTCTAATTGAGAGTTTGCAGAAGCAAAAGCACGTTTTACCCTTGATGTAAACAATTCAGGGACTTCATGACGCGGTATCGTCGAGGTGGCGCCTGCCGTGAAGGCTGATGACCATGGGTCGTTGTCACCCGGCACAAAGATAAAGGTAGAGCGTTGCAGCAATGACGGAAATTCGGACAATATTAAAGCGAGCATATCAAAACATTCCTTGTACTCGATGCTCCCTCCTTGACCACCGCCATTAATGATGGCTTTCTGCACAAAGTTCCCCATCAGAACGAAAGCCACAGGGCGTTCCTGCAAGGGTAGATCATTGTAAAGAGCGAGAACCTTCCTTAGTGCATCCAACGTCTTCATGTTGTCAAGGTTCACCTCGCCCATAATTACCATCTTGAGCCGACGATGAACTTCTATGCCATCATGAACGTCTCGCAAGCACCTGGTCTGGATTTGTCTCATTCGTGGACCTTGAGCACGTTCGCTCCCAACTCCTAGGAAATCAACCCACCCAAACCCTCCACTAGAGCTGATGTCTCTGCCGTTCTCCTGGTTACTAGTACCAAGTGATGTCTCGCGCCGCTCGCAGGGAGGGCCACAAATTGAAATCCCAACAAATCTACCCCCTATTGCCCCTCCAATTCCACTATTTCCACCTAATGTTGACCCTCTGACATTCTCTTCCTCCTCGTAAATTCCGTCAACAAGCACAAACATGCCGGGAGAGAGCCAAGCACCGTCCGCTGGGATCATACGCGCATGGCTCAATTCCAGAACGATACTGCCCGTAATATCGGTGAGGGATAGCTCGCCGGTGGGAGACACAGACAATAGACCAAGCAGTAAATGCGATGTACCACTTCTCCCGAGCAAATTTGCAACAGGGGTGAGCTTATAGCACTGATTCCTATCGAAGGAGGACGATGCCCGCTGTAATCCGCGTCCGCCAGAAGATGCTAGCGAGACTTGAAATGACTCATTTCGAAGCAAGCGCTGGTAAACAATGTTATAGCGGTCTCTGAATAAGGCGGTCTTATGGGACGGCGGCGGGAAAAGAGAGGGTTTGAATTTCGTAACCTCAAAGTGCTTTTTGTCGGCGTTGTAGGTCAACCTCGGGATATCGAAGGCTTCAATCACTTTGATCCAACGTCTTGGGTGGAGAACATTATCATCGGAATCATCTGGCGCCTGGTCCTCCGATAGTCCGGTTGAATGTGACGGCTGTAAGCTGGGAACCCTGTTGTTTCCATTTGCGCCTGCTGCTTTCGCGAGACCTTCCTTTGCAGCGAGTTTCGCATCAATGACCCTGCCGCCGCTCATGTTCCCTTCTAGAGTCTGTAAGATAGCTTTCAACGATGCTCCCTTGCCCTCTTCCACTATAACACCACCTCCCGCCTTTCTCCAGCTCTTGGCTACCTCATCCAATACACGCTCTGCAAGACCTTCCTCGCGCCATCCTGAGCCACAATTTTTGCCCACAAAGGTTGCTAGAGCCTGGAGTGCAGAGGATGAGATGGTGAGGTTGTGCTTCCGGGTGAAGGTGCGAAATGCGACAGGTCGGAGTGTTGAGGGAGGAAGTAGAATAGGAAGTATAGATGTCCTTGCTGGGGCTGGATTGATCCTATTCGTCCTAACCGGGTGGGCAGGAGTTCCGAATGCTGGCGACGATGAGCGTACAGGGTCTGAATTCATCTTTGTATGGATTGTATGAAATCGGACTTTTCCATACTCGGGGAACGGATTTCCTTTCGGTAGAACTAAAGCTACATTCTCAGTAAGATTGTAAGATTGTAATCTGGTCAGGTCTGTACTCACGGATCGATAAGTGTCCTTTAAATGATTAATTGATTTGAGACAGTATTTACATTGATATCTCTGCAGTGCACAATGCTAGTGAGTGAAGTGACACTCCCAGACGCGTGATGCCGCGCGCCACAACGCGCGACCGCGATTCAGGAAATTTAACTTCTTCATACAATTTCGTCTTTTCTAACCCTCTACTTACTTAACAAGAACCTTAAAACTACTTGGCACTTATAATTCTCACTCAGATACTTAAATTTCGGGAACAGCCAATTTTTCATCTAATTCAGTACTATTCCTGGAGAATCGGGTTGGACTATACTGCCGAAACAATGGGTGCGCAAGATCCAAACGAAGCGAGCGCAACTTCAGAATCAGCCGGCGGCGATACACGAGAGCAGTTAGAAACACTTATCAAACGGGCTGCTGCGAAAGATGCCATGAAAGACTATAATGCAGCTGCTGAACTTTACTCCGAAGCTACGGAACTTCAAGCAAAATTGAACGGCGAACTATCACTTGATAATGCAGACTTGTTGTTCGCTTACGGAAAGGCTTTGTACAGTGTCGCCATAAGCAAAAGTGATGTCCTGGGGTCCAAAGTAGCAGGGAAGACACAAGCGTCATCTGCAGATGCTTCAGAACCGGCTCCGGTTTCTGAGAATCTGATCCAAAGTGCTGTTTCGTCCGGCATGGTTAAGAAAGAATCCAGAGTTGAAAAGCAACAGTCGGAGAATACCGAAAGCAAGCCATATTTTCAATTTACCGGTGACGAGAATTTCGATGATTCCGATTCAGAGGGGGAGGAGGACGAGAACAATGCCGAGGGTGAAGGCGACGAGGAGGATGACGACGACGACTTCGCGAACGCTTTTGAGGTTCTTGATTTGGCTCGAATCCTCTACCACAAGAAACTGGCCACGTTAGAAGACGGTGATGGGAAAGGAAAATCTACGGATTCGGTTGCCGGCCTCAAAGACATTAAAGAGCATTTGGCAGATACATACGACCTCCAGGCCGAAATCTCCCTGGAAGCTGAGAGATTCACGGATGCAGTAACAGATTTGAGAACCGCGCTTGAACTGAGACAATCGCTGTTTCCAATGGAAGATCCTTCCATTGCTGAATGTCACTATAAGCTTTCGCTTGCCCTGGAGTTCGGGGCCGTCAAGCATGAGGACGATGACTCCAACCGCCCGGCAACGGTAGACGAGGAAATGAGGAACGAGGCTGTTACTCAAATGGAGAAGGCCATTGAGAGCTGTCGGGTTAGAATGGCCCAGGAACAGAAGAAAATGGATGGCGATGGTTCTTTGGACGAGGACAAAAGAACAGCCATGAAAAGGAAAATAGCTAATGTAAAGGAAATTGTATCAGATATGGAACAAAGAGTGAGTCTTTACCCCTAACCTCTATCCTCTTATCTGTATGTCTTGCTCACCTATATCCCGTATTTATAGCTTGTTGATCTCCGGCGCCCGCCAGTTTCTGTTGAGCAAGGGACGCATGATGAAAGTGAAACTATGCTAAAAGGTATTTTGGGACAAATTATGGGCCAGTCTCCTAGTGAACAGCAGTCGCGGCTTGATGCTGTCACACAGAATGCGAATGATCTTTCAGCCTTCGTTAAACGGAAACCAGCTGCGAGCAAGACATCACAGCCACCGGCATCTGCTCCCAAACGTTCCGCACAACAAATGGAGGAAGGTGATTCTAAGAGAGCTCGAGTAGATGACAAGGATGAATAAACATGCATAATTCATCTTCAATCTTATTATACCCTTGCTAGCTAATCCAAGTCCTATCTTGAGAAATATCTATCCTATTAACAGGATACCTAACGTGGCGAAGTCGTGTAAAGGGGGCTGAAGTGGGGATGGGATGCTTGGAAGGTAGCGTTATTCCAAGTTGTTATATACAAATATTATCCATAGTCATAAAAGGTCGCAATAAGAGGAGTCATTAAGAGGGAGGATGACTCTCGAGAGTCGCCGAAGGAGGTCGATATTAAGGGGCGATAGCCGTCGTTTGTAAGGGTGATATTATAGTTTAGAGGGCAGTGAGCCCCAGAGCAGGGGCATTTCGGTCCAGCTTGCGGCTTCTGCGACGTATCGCTAGTCCGGGGCTCCAAATCCCGGCAAACAAGTCCTCGCATTCATCCTCATCCTGGCTATCAAACTCGACGCTATCCTGTGGCGGTTTGGGGCCTGTCTCCATGGAATCCGGTGAACCGGGACAAGCCGCCAAGTCAACATATGAGGCGGATTCCCAAGATGACGAGGTGATGATTCTCTTGGTCTCCAGAATAAACTTGCCGACCTTGTACCGTTGCGATTCTTCCTCTGCGGCGACATATTTCCAACCCAGTACCGCTCCACAAAAGGCACAGTTGATATCACTAACTTTATGCGCACCGGTAACCAACTGGCGCGACACGGGACTCTGGATTAATGTATTTGGAAGCGACTCTGTCGGAGAAGATGTTGCATTAACAGATACTGCCGTCGCTATGGGTTCTGCCGACACCAGATAAGCGCGACCATGGCGGCCTGTAAATCCTTTGCTGATAATCTGCGATGTCAAACAGAGGTCCGCCGAGCAATTCAAGCACCGAATGTAAGAGACATGGCCATGAAGGTATTTGTGGTCCGCTGTCTCGTCATTCGGGAGCCCAGATGCTATGCTGGGAGATGATGAGGTTGGACTCCCCGCTTTTCTCTTGTCGGCACGGAAGATAGAGGGCGGGAGAAGAAACTTGGGAAACATGACCGGTTTTGATTCACTGACTAGCTTGAACTTGATAATTTGACATTAAGTATATTAAGCAACAGGAGGATTGTGGTTTATTTTAGACACAGAATTAGTGAGGTAAAGTAGTAGGAATACATGGAGCATTGGTGGGGAGCAATTTGTTACCTATCCCATGACCTACCTACCTTCATTTAACTACCTAGTTATATATAGTGCAGGTTGACATAAACCCTCTCGATTTGTGACAAACAATCTCGGAGGCTCTTCAGCTACTTCTCCCCGATCGCGATAACAAGTAGTAAAGATCATTTCATTTTCTTCTTATTTTTCCTGGTCTTTTTTTTTGGGAGCTGATCATTCCACCATGATTGACGTCACCCGCGTGATACCGAAAGATCGCTCTTATTGGTTGGCAAGCATACCTTAGGCAGGTATTATTGGACTTTGCATGTGAGTGCCCAAGGTACCAAGCAATAACGAGTAGCCTAATATTTACACAGAATCATGAGCGGAAGATCAATTTCCCCCAATATTTTTGTTAATTATTCTTGGGCCTCGTTTTACAAGCTTATCCTGGAATATAGAGAATGGTAGAGCCAGGTTGGGATGCGAAAACACAAATTAAAGAGTGTTGAAAAGCAACCGAAAACGAAAGAAGTAGATCAGTAAGAGTCAGGCCTGCTGGTTTAAACTTCGGCGCTCAAAAAAAGCCATCTGGGACTAATAGAAGATTCAAGGGAACCTCTGGTATCCCAAGGTTGGAGGGTGGTCAGGCTAAAGCCACACCACCCAAAGTTTCTTATGGTTTCAATCTCAGCACCATCCTGAGAACGCGGCGCGCAGACAACTATCTGAGAACACTCAAACGCGGGCATGTCGGCAAGCTCAAATAGTGCAATTAATCTATAATATTGTGTAAGCTTAGTTTAAATATGGAGGTACAGGAAGGAGACACGAATGTAGAATTTACATACCCAGATTTTAAGCCATTTCCAAGGGCTGATTCTGTGAAGAACACGAATAGTGTTCGCTCACCGCTCGTATTGGTTATGAATCCCCGGTATATAGCATCCCCGGTATAATCCAGTACCTCAACCCATTGTTGGATCTGGTTCGGCGGAATTAGGGACGCACCTAACCCAAGTGACTCGTGTCTAGACGATCTCCTCTCACCTAGGAAAATCGCAGACAACTTGTCACAGAAGAGTCTCTCACACTCCCCCGGGATAGTATGCGTTGCCTCCCCCTTCTGGTCCAGTATGTTACATCCTGGAAGGCTGTTCCCCATGCCTAAAGCGATGGAGAGATCGAGGGGAGGACTTAAATGGGGCATTTTTGACCCTGAGGGGACCTCAGGGATACCACTGTACTCCTATTGATCGTAATAGCCACGTTAGTAATCAAACAACTGGATTATACGCCTGCGAAGGAATGGACTGGCTCCTTACCGGCCCCGCTAGTAGTGCAGTAATGAAAGCCATTGACAGCTGAAGTGAAGTTGTCAACACTGTAGCAGCTGGCAAGCACGGTGGTCTGAGGGTTTTTGTCCATAAATTGTTGTAAATTATTGGAGGTACTACTGTTATTATTCGAAAACCTAGCCATGGTCACTGACTGAAGAGGTACAGTACAGGTGTTAATGATGGTGAAATCGGAGGGGTTTGTAAGGGGAATTAAACAGAAAATCGGAAGATTTGATGGAACTGTAGAAAAGGTGAAGGAAGAGATACAGATTTATTGTTAAATTGATGGATTCTCTGGGTTCTTCCTGAATTCATAGGAGGGATGGATGTCAAAGTAGGGGTCGGTGTGGTGAGGAATTAGTCAAGACTCGTTTGCCAATCATCTGACCACGAAGTGTCGTGCCTCAGGCTCCAAAGAAATATTATTCCCTCAAATCCTTGAAACCTTGGCTATGGAGTACAATAATCAATCACTTTTCAGACAATACGAGAATATTTTTTGAAGTTTTAATTTTTATATATTTTTTTGGGGGGCTCTATTGGAAAGACTCTCACTTTCAACATAAAGTGAAGATGACCAAGCTATTTACATATGTAACTATAGAATACATCAATCATGTACACAAGAAAAGTATAGAAGTAATGTAAGAGAAAAGAAAGTCTCTCATCAACCGTTCAAAGAAGGCCTGAAGACCCCAGGGGATACCGGGGAAGTTTGGACAACGATGAAACAAGACCATACACTTAGAGCTCTCGATAATCACTTGGCCTTATCCTTCGATGTCTTGCTTGATGTCGTTGTGGGTTCACAGGCTGTCGAAAATATGGAGAGTCTTCTTCTCGAGCGTATGGCGAGCTGAACGTCGTCCGTTGCTGGTTCGAAAAATGACCGGGTCCCGCTCCTTGCGGAAATCTAGAGTTTGGTTGCATGTTCCCAGGCATTTGAGACATAGGAAACAAGTTCATCGACGGCTCCCCGGCGCCGGGAAACATACCAGGCGCATTGAAACCATTAGGAGCGACCCCATTAGCATGGCTATTATACATTCCATTTTGAAGCGCACTGAAATTCATGGCATTCATCGGATTCCAGGTAGGGTCCAAGTTCGGCGGAAAGCCGTTTCCAGAAGGTAATCCCATGGGGTTCATGAATCCCATACCATCACCAACAAAATTAGGATCAGGGAAGGGCATCCCCGGCATAGCTGGGGTCTGCATAAATCCCATGGCCCCAAAAGGCATTTGCTGAGCGAAAGGAAGTGGTTGAAATCCAGTCAATGAGTCCTTTGCTTGCGGCTGAGATGTGTCAGAGGCTACCTCATTACCATCTTCTGATTTCTGTTTTTTTGCCGAAGAGCCAGAATTTGGGTCTTCAGAAATTGCATGTGGGGGGGAGTCTTCTGCAGGTCGTTTCCGAGAGTTAGCTATAGCCGGCGACTCCTCTTTTCTTTCCATAGAATTCCTGTCAGGAACAGGAACTTTGTTATCAGGTTGGTCTTCTTGAGACGTTGAATGCTTCTCTTTCTCTTTCCTTGAATCCGCCTTTTCAGTTTCGTACGCTTTAATTTGAGCGACTGCTTCGTCATTGACAGTGAGATTATCAAGCAAAACACCTTCTGTTCCACAGCCAGGACATACAAAATCACTTTCAATCAATGCATTCGTAATACAGTCATTGCAATAGGTCTTCTGACAGCACGGTGTTTCGGTAGGTTCTAGAAACATCCGTTTGTCGATTGGGCATTCTAGGCCTCGAGCTTGGAGCTCCTTGCTTTGCTCCGCGGCGGCTGCTTCCGCGGCGGCGGCTGCGTTAGCTTTAACTTTCTCCTGATACAGTTCCCAGGCAGCATTGTCAGGTTTTGTGATGATAAAATCGCCATCGGCATTAACCATAACGCCTGTATTCCGCAAGTCCTCGGCAGAACCATCGAGCATGAGCGACTCTGGCTTTTCAACTTTCGTTTGCAAAGACCGAGGGATTCCAGTCGATCGTTTAACCCTATATTTTCCGTCGAACTTCGGATCGTTGTTTGTAGGGCAGGCCTGAATCCAGTGACCTAGGAGATGGTGAGTCAACTTCCCAAAATCGAACCTAAGCAAATGAAAATGCTTACCTTTTTCCCGACAACGATAGCAAAGATATCCCGGAGGAGGAGGATGGTCTGGAACATTGACTGGTTTGCCTCTACCACGACCAAATTGAACAGGAGTAGCACTATGAGAATCTGATTAGCACTGCAAAGCTTCTAAAGATTTGAGAACACTTACTTTGCCATTTCTTGCTGCTGTTCCCTCCACTGATTGGCCTGCAAATTAAAAAGGGCGTTGATTTTCTCCTCTTCTGTCTGGGCATTATTGAGTTCTAGCACACCGTTGCTGACTGGATGGCTAGAAGTCGCAGCCGCTCGATTCAATGCGGACGGATCATTACGGGGAGCGCTGCGCGCATTGACCGGCATTTTCCCTGACACATATCGAGCAGCACCGCCCTTTCCTGGCCGGGATGCTGGTAGTCTTCGGGCTATGACAGAGGTTGAGCGCGGTATGACACTAGTATCATCGTCATATTCTGGACCGACGCTTGTTAGTCTTCTATTTCGGAAGTGGAGATAAAGTGCAAACGTCGAGGACAGTACAAGGTAGAACAAATAGTATAGGGCGATCTTACCTTCCCCAGTGTCTTCGTTGTAGATAGACAGCTCAAAATCGGTCCCGTCGCCCAGTCTACTCTGATTGATAATTTCTCGCTTCAATTCAAAGACAGAAATACCGGTACCATCAAAAGTCACCCTTGAGGGCTCTTTTTGAGACTTGAACTTGAAGTGAACAGAGGATGACATTGTATTCAATTGAACGTTCAATGAATGCGTTTGCGATGTAATTAGATCAAGGTTTTTTTTTTCTTAAGGGGTACCACTTTCACAGATGAAAGATACAAATGAGAAGAGGTAAAACAAGCAGAAATAGCAAATCAAGAGCAAATAGGGTAGTAAAAAGGGTGTCAGATTAAGAATCAAGAAAAAAATGTCTTTCTTTAAACAACCTTGGAGGTCGAAGGGCTCAATTTATCGATGATATTGCCTGAACTTATGAATTCAAAGACTCTTCATGGATTTGAGTCGCAAGGTTTTAGATCGCTGCATACAAACAAGATAAAACCTGTTCGATACAAAAGCAGAGGAAGCTGCAGTTCTGTAGCAAAATAAGAGGGAGTTGTGAGAGCTTCAAGAGCGCTGCTAGTCCATCAAATTTGAATGAATGCTTCCCTACCCCCTCTAACCAGTACTTGTGACTTGACCCGATGAACAGCAGCTTGTATTTTCCCAGGCAAAGACGAAAATCACTGAAGAACGGGTTATAAGGACGCTCGACTGATATCTGAAGAAATAAGGAGGGGAGATGAGGGATCAAGTTAACTATGAGCCCAAAGGAAAATCTGGCCGATTAATAGCGAAAGGATGCCTGAATCAAGGGCAAGCGTGAAAATGGCTTGGGGGGATGGCAGAGCTACAAGAGGCACTCACAAGGATAATATCAATATCCTAGTTTTCCCTTTTCAAATGAAGAAGCTGCTGTGCTCTGTGCTCGAGATTTGATGAGTTTGACAATGCGATGATTCTGCAACCGGAGTTGGTGTTACGGAAGTTCCAATGCTCATGGTGGCAAACCTTCAATCACGTGCCTCTTTTCCCCCGGTTGAACCACTAGGCCCCTTTTGGAAGTCATGTATATTAGTCAGACAAGGCGGTGGAAGCAGGTAAGGATACGCTAACTATCTAAAAGAAATACATCCTTTTCTAACCTACCTAGGTAGTTAGTTAGAGGAAGAATAACCATTTCTATATACATATTCTATGCTCTAATTTTAGAACAGTCAGCCCAGCTAAAGTAACATTCTTTTCTTTCCTGAATATTACAAAATCCATTCTGCTCCTCTAGTTAAATATCAGGTTCAAATCTACGAACCAGGAAATCCCTACTATTGAGATAGTCCTTCACTTCACCAACAGTGTACTCTCCACGATGGAACTATGACTGTATTAATACAATAGATAAGAACGGGGGAAGGGGATAGTTACGTACCATGCCAGCACCTAGAGCTGCATCAGTAGTGGTCTTCTCAAAAACTTCTGCAAAATGCTGTGGTCTGCCAGCTCCGCTGGAGGCAATCACGGGTATCGTGACTGCAGCTTTGACGTGATTGATGAGTTCCAAATCAAACCCGCTATTGCTTCCATCTTTGTCAATACAATTCAGTAGAATCTCGCCAGCACCCATTGCCTCAACTGCTTTCGCTAGCTGGCAGACATCTATGTCTCGGGTCTCTCTGCCGCCCTTGACCGTGCACTGGTACCAGCAAAAGGTCTGTCCAGCAGCGTTCGGGTATTCCGTTTTGATTGTGCTGTGCTTTGTGTCCTCCGGGCTGTTCACGTATACGCGTTTGGGGTCGACGCTGACAACGACTGCTTGGTTCCCGTACGCCTTTGATATCGATTCGATAGCTGTTTTGCCAGACAAAACTCCACCAGCTGCATAAAACTCCTCGGCAGCAGTTACAGCATCCGAGCCAATGCTGACCTTATCTGCACCGGACTTGAAGTACATGGTTGCCACTTCTAGAGCCAAAATCTGAGTGCCATCCGTGTCCACGGTATCCCTGATCCCACCGCCGATAGTCAGAGGAACAAAGACAGTCTCTGATGTTCTTCTCAGAATCTCAAGCATAGGTAGGTCAGCCACTGGGCAGTTTCTGAACGAGGTAATGTTAAGGAATGTAACTTCATCGGCCCCTTGTTCATAATACTTCTTAGCCATATCAACAGGCTTTCCCAGATTTCTTACTTGCCCTCCAGCATCCGCATCGCTCTTTTCCCGGACATCGTATTGATCGCCTTTTGTGACCACGAGATCCCCGTCGTCGTTTGTGCGGACATCGAGACAAGCAATGATTCGACGAGTGAGCCCACTTTTCTCTGCCTGGTGGGCCGAGTCTTCTGTAGAAAGTGTCTGGAATCGATCACCATCCAAGAAAGCGCGAATTGTCCGGAGTCCAGCCTGACCACTTTTCTCGGGGTGGAATTGGGTTGCAAAAATATTTCCTCGCGCTATGGCACCAATGAACTCCTCCTCGCCGTACTTCGCTGTAGCAACATACCAACCGTCTTGTTCGAGAACGTTGGGTTCGTAAAGAGCGGCATAGGAATGAACATAGTAGTACTTGCTGCTGGGATTCAGTCCGTAAAAGCTCTGACCCCCGGATGAGTTGATGCGGGTGTTCATTGCGGAGTTCCAGCCAATATGAGGTACGCTTTTTGTTTCAGAGTTGAACTTCTGCATGCGCACTGGAATCACTCCCAGACCTGGAACATCGGGGTCCTCCTCTGAACCCTCGAAAAGAGCTTGTAAACCAACGCAAATACCCATAAATGGTTTCCCAGAAGCGATATGCTGTCTAATAGGCTCTAGATAGCCCCCGCTCGAAAGTTGTGAAAGGCAATGGCCGAAATGGCCGACTCCGGGTAGGATAAGTTTCTACCCCCTCAACGTCAGTTACATATGTCGAAAAAAAAAAGGAAATAAAAAATGTGGGTAGTAGGGAATGAAGTAGGAGTACGAACCTCGACATTCTTCAAATCTTCGGGAGATTTCACCCATTCGACTTCGTAGCCGACTTTGTTAATCGCATTCACCAGAGAACGGACATTTCCAGCAACGTAGTCGAGCAAATGGACGGTAGGCATGTTGACAGGTGCTCAATGCGCGGTGCACTGACACCTTCTGGAATATATACTCAATCGATTGAAGAAAATGAATCGGTTCTGTATCCAAATTTTTAGACAAGAGTGACTCAATTGGAATCCCAGAATAATCGTCTTCTCAATTGACCCCACCATCGCGGACTGATGAGCTGAGTCATTATCTAGTGGCACTTTTTTTTTCCCCGCGCCAATCAAGTGTTTAGCGGAACCCCAAGACCGGCCACATACGGACGGGATTGATGTTTTTTGAAGGAGAGTTATAGAGATACTACCTAGAGTAGTAGAGTACTATTGGGTATTTTGAAGCTGGGCCAAGGAGGGTGCCTAAATAGTAACTCATTAGAACTCATTGCTAATGCTATTCATCTTAAAGTTGATGTCTCTACTACATAAGCCATCAATTACACACTGAATCGCCAATACGTAGGCAGAGAGGGTCACGCTCAATCATATTCTATGTACTCATTTAAACGACTGCTGAATGCAATTAGGTTGAATTGGAAGGGTTATATTCATCGCCTATATTTTTTCTGACCCTTCAAGGTAAATGAGTCCATTTCTAGGCTACAAGAAGTTAGTTTCATAAAATTCCAAATTCATCCCGGGGAAGGGGGAGGGCCTCACCGGAGAAAACTGCCTGAGGCGTATTCCAGCTGCTTCCAAAATTGCAGCGCTCTTCCTGCTGTCAGTATGGACTCTGCTAAAGGTCAAACATAAGAGAGAGAGAGAGAGAGAGAAACGTACGTCATTGTCCATATTGTATCCCTGGGAGTAAACAACTTCGGATATCCCAACCTGCGCGATTTTGACAGTACACGTTAAGCAAGGACATCTTTTGAGGGAGGGAGTTAGCATATTTATCAGAGTCAACAAGAAATATATCTTACGTATTGCAATATATAATAGCACCTTCGCGTATCCGCTCTCTTCCAGCCTCCAGCAAGGCGTTCTCCTCAGCATGGAGGCAGAGACAGGTAGATAGCCCCACGCCTCCTCCTTCGCCGCGATTGCATCTAGGGCCTATTCAAGTGTAAGCCCGCATTCTCCTCATGTTTCTAGGGCTTCGTACATCCGCCTTCATTGCAGTTCTTGAGGTGTCGGGGAGTCCCATTGTACCCCGTGCTAATGACCCGGCGCTCTCTAACCAAAACACAGCCTACTCTTCTTTTCATGCAATTGCTTCGCTGCGCAGCGAGTGACGCTAGTTCCATAAAATATTGGTCCCAGTTTGGTCGTAGGCGTTGTTCGTCAGCCAAATTAAGCGCCTTGAGAGCCTCGTGCAGTTCATTCAGTGAGGAAGATGAATTGAATAGCCGAACTTGCGCGCGATCAGTTACAAAGGCACCGCCAGTATCCTTTTGATACAGGTGACGATCATTCCAAAGAACAAATTTCTCCAGAGGAGGGGGCTCAAGCTGTCTCTCTCGACACCTAGGGCTTTTATTAGCGGATATCTTTTAAACTCCGTGGGTTTATGATCAGGCGCGGCGCCAGCTAACCTTTCTGCAAATCGTTTCCATCGCAGGCTGACCGGAGCATCAATGTTCACAAGGAGGAAAAATGGGCGCTGTAGAAAGCGATCCAATGTGCTAATATCCCAGATGTCTGTAGTAACCCAGTTTTCCTGCCATCTTTTTGTTGCAAAGTCAAGAAGTGATTCAGCACTCTCAAAGACTAACCGTGAAGCTTGGTCAACTCCTTGCCCCGTGAATTCAGAGCCACACAGTCGAGCATCATCGCCCGAGTCATCGACATGGTGGTAAAGACGCCTTTCTTTTAATTCCAGGAGCTGGAAATTTTGATGCTGAATGAGGTATTTTGCCACGGCGTGTTTTCCGGCGCAGATACCTTGGCTCGCGCTGTCAGTTCTACGCCAACACGCAAGTTCCCATGGAATTTTGTTTTATCCACTGACCTCCACACAATCCAATAAGCATTGTTCCTGTTTATATAAATTGAACGGGAAGTATAGTTGTGAAGAGTTTATAGGAAGGTCCAATGTGAGGAGGGTTTTACGGGTGGAGATAAATCCTGGTTATGGCGGACTGAGGATAGTGAGTGGGTTACTAGTACTAGTAGCAGTTCCACCGAAATATTGCAGGCCGCCATGACCCAAGCAACCTGAAGAAGTATAAAAACCAGGGCAATAAGAAGCGTATTGGCTACCGCTAGTATAGGTTCTATTCAAGTTCCAGAAACCAGTAGTAATAAATGAGCAAAGATGCTCATCATTATGAATCAATTTATAGGGGCGTCAAGTGACGTAACAGACACGCTAGGCTCTTCTAGGTAGAAAGCTGGGAAAGCCCGCGTACAGGTCACAAGGCACTACGGGATAAGTAGTAACTATTCAGGTACCCCACCAAGATTATTATGTCTGTACTTCGTACCATTCTCAAATATCCTGTCAAAAAGCCTTCCTTTCATATCCCGTACACAGAAGACGCCTTAGCTAGCCGAGAAACTGTTTTACATCTTTACCTGCTTTCTCCAATCAGCTCACCCCATCTGAGGATGCAGAGCGCAACCCCGCTCTAGGTGCAAGAAGACTAGTAGTACTCCATCAAGACACCATGCAGTACGCTCCATTTGCTTCGGATATAGAACTTCCATTCTATACTGCTCTCACCTCGCTCAAGATCAATCATGACAAACTCGATGACTCCGCCCGCAAGATTTTGGGACTCTATGAGGTCCGCCCTACCGACCCTCCGAACACCTCTTGTCGAATGCAAATACACGGGAATGCTCTCACCAGTGATGAGTGAGTTCATCATATCCCACAGTCCACGCACTACTCCCACCTGTTACCCTCCTGAATTAGCCAAAATTCTTATTAGTTGTGAACTAGTGTCCCAGCCAACTATTATCGCGCGGAAGGGATCATAAGAAACGTCAACACAATCGAAGACTATGGAAATACCGACAAAGCCCACATGCTACAACAGTCTGGCAAAACAGTCAGTGCATCGGTAATTGCGGTTCTATGCAGCTGATAGTAACTATTTTGATCTAGATATGGGATGCTATCCACGATGGTTCCATCTATTCATGTCCTTCTCTACTATCATCCTTCATCGTCCTCTCATATGCAGACCTCAAGAGGTATAAGTTTCATTATTGGTTTGCATTCCCGGCACTCCATTCGGATCCTTCGTGGATACCACTGGATACGCAGCATGATACTGCGGGACCGGTTCCTACCGACACAAAACGTTTGCCAACTAGATACTTACCCAGTACTCAAAGTTCGGCTCTTGTTGAAGCGGTCGAAAACTGGAGCTGTACAGTAGATGCTCGCCAACAAGGGTTCTTCTTGGCTCGAAGGGTTGCAAATACTGACTCCGAACACCCTACCGTCAACAGGACAGGCTCTGAAGACGCCGTCCATCCACCGGAACCCAACAATGTCGTCTGGAAGATCGCACCTCTTTCAAGCTACGAAGACGGATTCTTCGAAGGAGCAAACTTTGAGGATTGTTTTACTTGTTTCATTGACCCATCAAATTATGATGATGCACCCGGCTGGATGCTCAGGAATCTCCTCGTCCTTGCGAAGCAGCGCTGGGGCCTCGCAAAAATCCAGGTCCTGCGATATCGCGACGGATCATCTCATCGTGGCCTCGGCCGAAGTGTGATACTAACTTTAGGAACCAAATCCCCACCACCTTCACAGTCGGGCAAGCTGCAGAACGAACCCAGTAAAATGCCCAAGGTGACCGGATGGGAGCGTAATCCAGCTGGTAAATTGGCAGGAAGATTCGTCAATCTGACTGATTATCTAGACCCTAAGAGGTACGGTAGCATGAAGACTAGCGAATATAGATGCTAACCACCGCGCCCTGCACGCGTTCTATAGGCTTGCCGACCAGTCAGTTGACCTCAACCTCAAACTTATGAAATGGCGAATTAGCCCAAATCTAGACCTTGAAAAAATCAAAAGCACCAAATGCCTCCTACTTGGAGCTGGTACTCTTGGAAGCTATGTTGCTCGAAATTTGATGGTAGGGATATTTAAAACCATTTCTACCCGTCTGAAATACTAATCTACTTAGGCCTGGGGGGTCAGAAAGATTACATTCGTGGATAACGGATCTGTGTCATTCTCCAACCCCGTGAGACAGCCGTTGTTTAATTTCGAAGACTGTTTAGAAGGTGGCGCGAAAAAAGCCTACCGGGCTGCCGAGGCTTTGTCCGAGATCTACCCAGGCGTTGAATCCATTGGCCACGTACTATCTGTGCCTATGGCTGGTCACCCAGTACTAGATACAGAAAAGACGAAAGCAGAATTTAAAGTTCTCAAGAAGCTGATAGATGACCATGACGTCATTTTCCTCCTCATGGACACAAGAGAGTCGCGATGGCTGCCAACGGTAATGGGAAAGGCGGCCAACAAAATCGTAATGAATGCTGCTCTAGGGTTTGATACATATGTGGTAATGCGTCATGGCGTTCTGAATGATAAAAAGCCGGAATCAGAGCTTGGATGCTACTTCTGCAATGATGTCGTGGCACCGATGAATGTGAGCGATGACCTGGAACCAAATGCTACTTTCGCTAAAATTTCTTGTAGTCCCAGAAAGACCAGACCCTTGATCAGCAGTGTACAGTCACGAGACCAGGCGTGGCCGCCATAGCCTCAGCTCTTCTTGTTGAGTTACTAGTCTCGATTCTCCAACATCCATTAGGGGCTTCTGCCCCGGCTCCATCAACCCGCGGCGAAGACCAAAACGGCCATCCCTTGGGTCTAGTTCCACATCAAATCAGGGGGTTTCTTTCAACCTTTGAAAACGTCTCTGTAATGGGCCAAAGTTACAAATGTTGTAGCGCATGCTCAAAGAACATTATTGATGAGTACAAGAAGGAGGGGTGGAACTTTGTGCAAAAGGCTTTGAATGAAGTTGGATATGTTGAGAAATTGAGCGGGCTCAAAGAGGTTTGCCAAACACTTCCTTTCGTGTGTAAGATGCTGATTTCCGAAGCTTCAAGAAGCTGCCGAAGCGACGCTTGCCGACATCGAGTGGGACGAGGATTCAGAACTAGAGGAAATAGAGGCAGTCGGGTGCTGAACGGGCTCTTCATGTACGGCGAGGTTCTTGTGTTGTTTTTAGGGGTTTAGGGGTATTATTCCCGTATGCCGGCCCGCTTATAGGCCTTCGAATACTTCGTGTTTTTCTACTTTTGCTTTGCGGCCGAGGCCAATAAAGTATGCCTCTTTGGATTCCTATTAGTTGTGTCAGTTGGGAAATGGTGTATTGGTATGCGAATTGGAGTGGTTCATACACTGCGTGACGATTCTGGTTTGAGTCTGTGCACTTTCTGGAAGAGCGCTTTCAGCTGCATCTCCAGGTCCTTGTCTTCTATTCCTTGGTAGAACTTGCAGACGAAATGGCCACCAGCTCTGAGGACTTCATAACCAAACTGCAAGGCAGCTCGGCAAAGGTCCTAGTGACGATTAGCTAAACAAACGGACTCGAGAATCCAGGAAACTCACCATGCTCCCAGCGTGGTCTTTAAAGCTTACTCCGCTGGTGTTCATCATCCTGTATGGATCACTTAGACTTCTCTTCCAAAATCCTGTTGTTTGATACCAGGGAGCTGACATATCACTGAGGACCACATCTACCGTTCTCAAAATATCTGACCCACCATGAGGGCCATTGTCAGAGGTTTCGCTGAGTCGATGATTGTTGGTGTCCACAACTGATTCGCCGGTCATGTGAGTATCGACATCCGACCCCTTCGAATAGGGCCGACCCCTCTGCGGATCGCGCACAAACTCTTGCACATAGGCTTGAATCTTAGGATCCAAGAAATTTCCTTGTATCGTGGACATTCCTTTTGGTGGTTGGCTTGGGATGATATCGACCCCCAGAACCCTGCCGTTCGGTTGGGTTCTCATCAGTGCGACCTTGGAAGAAGTCAGCTGGAGAAGAGCGTTTGGGGGACTTCCAGTTGACACACTTGAGACCATGATCCAGGAGCATATCCCTATAGCGTATAATGCCCTAGCGTTAATCAAAGATGAGTGTCTTCTGCTGGTTCTGGCGGATTTCATACGAGGTCAACAACAGTCTGCCCGCTTTCAAATATCCGGAACTTATCGTCGATCTGTGGCCAAATTATGGTTAGGTCAAATGACTACAAGGATAATAAATTTGATGGATGTACCTGTAGAAGCTTGAAGGCGGCCCGGCTTTTGAGTCCTTGCACTGCTGCTTCCCGCGTAAAGCGGTCTTTCGATTGGCGAGCTTGCCATCGCTTTGATGACGAAAATCTCTTCAATGTAAGCGATGGGAGTTGGCAAAGATATCGAGTGTGGTTTGGTTGTGCTACAAGTAGTAGTAAAGCCATGGTGTGGGATTATGATAATCGCAAAGATGATAATCGGAGAAGCGTGGAGCAGAGTCCATAGCTTGCTTGCGAGCTCTAGCTCCGAAGGATACATGATTCTCCAGAAAGCTTGGCATTTGTTCGATACCCAAGAACAGGTTTGATCTGCCTTTAGTATACAAATACTCAAGAACAACAACATCTCGAGTTATTGTCAACCTTATGGCATCATTAAAGATTTTCTAAAGTTCTTTTGGTTTTGCAAGATTTACCTCCTACACTCTCTGGGATCAGTTCGTTCAAAAACTACTTGGAAAACAGAAGAAGAAAAAAAACCCATGCTTGAGTGTGATGTGTGTTCACAAGGACCTATGGTCGTTTTTTGTCTCGCTTCAAAGGTGAAAATCCCCCAAGGCTTGTGAATACACGATTTCCAGATACGTTCGTTTGCCCCGTGCCGGCAAGCTTTCGTCCAGGCTTCTTAGTATCCTGTAAAGCAATCATGTCTTCTTCCTCTTCCTCCTCAAATAAGCTCCGATCACGTTGAAGACCTAATTTACGTTTCCTACTAGGGGCTGGTTTTTGACCGGCGAGACGAGATTGGAAAATGGCATGGCCATCAACATCGCCCGTTGGAGGGCTATCCAAGAGTCTCGGCTTTTTTCCGTTTCTTCCTTTCCCTTCTTGACCTGTCTTGCTGGCGCCTTGATTTCCTGTTTTATAGATCTGTCTCGCGACCGGCGATTTGAGCTGAAGAAATTGGGTGGTGGCCCTTTGTGACTGTTCATTGCCGCCAGGTAGATCGATCTGTTGAATGTTTTGACCGACTGTTTGGAGTTCGTCTAGTTCGTCGTCGGAACTCATGGTCGAGTCTTGAAGCCCGGTTGTGCGATTTAAAAATGGTGTGATTGAAAACGACGATATCGCACCAGGCAATGTAGTGTGTCGCTTCTGTTGTTCTTGGGCCTGGACAGCTCCAGGGGTTGCAATAGTTAACTCAGACTGTGGCCGGGTTGCAGGCTTTTGAAGCGGAACAACGCTGGTTTTCCCAGTGAAGCTTTTCTGTTTACCGATGCCCCAGGCCTCCTGTCGTCCCTGGTAATCTTGTGAAGCTTCCTCATGTCGACCTTCGAGGGGCACAGCCTTTTTCCTCACACCTTCAACTGTGTCATCAGTGGTCATCTGCTGAGCCACTATTTCACGATTATTTAGATGACCGGCACCCTTTTGCCGACGTGTTATTTCTAGCTCTCGCCGTATTTCCTCAAGCTTTGAACTTAGGCTCGAAATTTCTTCCATTTGTTGCGATCCTTTAGCCAACGTCCGTTCATGTGCACGCTTCTCATTCTCCAATTGTACTTCAAGTGTGTTGAGCTGTCGGGTCAGAGCTTGTTTCTCTCCGAGAAGGGTCTGGTAAGAGGTATTCTGAGAATTCAGTCTCTCAACTTCCAATTGTGCGTTCGATAGGTCTTTGGAAAGGCGAATATTTTCCACTTGGAGCGTCTTAGACTGAAGCGATGCACCATCGGATGATGCCAGTTCGCGCTATCATCACGCTTAGAGATAATGTTAATCAATCACTACGACTTGGGGGCACATACATGTAAATTGTCTATTTCACGGGACGATACTTGAATGACGCCTTGCAGTCGATCCAGCTCTTTGCTCGTATCAACAAGTTGGAGACGGGTATCGGATTCTGCCTTTATCACGCGAACCAACTCCTGGTTCTTTTGGTCCAAGCGTAAACGAAGACTTTCGTTTTCAATTTGGAGAAGCAGCTGTTCCATACATTGAATTCGGTTGTGCTCAGTGTCGAGAAGCTGTGCTGTGCGCGCAAGAACTCTGTCATATTCCGTTTCGTAGCGCGCTGTCGTCAAAGTCATTCGATACTGGAAACAAACCATGTAAGGCTACTGATGTGGTGTTTATGGATGAGATACCTAACGTACATCCTCCACCGTGAATTCTAGCTCCTCTGCTAAGAGCTCCATGTCGTTATTACTATATCGGGAGACAACAATTATAATGCTCCCCGGGGGAAGAGAGACAAGAAAAGGCGCGCCCAATAAACAAATAAGGATGGCGGAACTCCGCGCAGGTCGGAAGGAAAAACCATAGTGGGCCGGTCTTCCGTAGTGGACACCTAATCTAATGTCCATTAACTAGTTATCGAGTGAAACAGAGACGACGCATGGCCGACTTCATCTTGGGCCATTGATTTTATATCTATGTACCCCTCTTTTCGTTGACAATCCCGTCATATGATTCTCGTGTCAAAATGAAGCTTCTCACATTTATTCTCTCTCTGCTTTCCGTTATTTCCGTCGCCTTCACCGCGACTCCCAATGCCGACAAGTTTGAAAAGTATCAGTCACTTTCGCGCCTGGCACCCATCCAACTCGATGACTCTACTTACAACGAGATAACTTCAACCCCTCGCGATTATTATGCAGCGGTCATCTTGACAGCTACAGACGCCCGCTTTGGGTGCGGCCTTTGTCGTGAATTCCAACCAGACTTCGATCTTATTGCACGGAGCTGGAACAAGGGTTCGAAACCAGATGGACTCAAGCTGCTCTTTGGTGCTCTCGAGTTTGACAAGGGCAAGGGAACTTTCCAAAAGGCATGGGATTGACGGTTCTCTTGGCTTCTTCATCCGCTAATCCATAAGGCTAGTTGATGCTTCAAACGGCCCCCGTCCTCCTCGTTTTCCCTCCTACCATTGGACCCCATGCTCGAGTTGACGATAGCCCATCACGATTCGATTTTAGCGGGTAAGCTGAGCAACTCCCAAGGTCAATTGTATTCGAGAGAACCGTATTAATGGTCAAAATTAAACAGACCGGTATCTGCCGACCAAGTCTATGCCTGGATTAATCGCCAGCTACCTGACGGACCAAAACCGCCGCTTGTCCGCCCTATTAACTACATGAGGCTCGTTTCCGGGATCACAATTCTCATGGGCGCAGTAACCTTATTCACTGTGCTTTCTCCCTACATGCTTCCGATTGTCAGAAATCGAAATATTTGGGCTGCGTTCAGTCTGATTGCTATTCTTCTATTTACCAGCGGCCACATGTTCAATCATATTCGCAAAGTACCCTACGTTGCGGGTGACGGTAGAGGTGGCATCAGCTATTTTGCTGGTGGGTTTTCAAACCAGTTTGGAATGGAAACACAAATTATTGCTGCAATCTGTAAGTCCCTTGCTCTTGATATGTAGATCTACAAGGTTATGTGTTTCACGCTGGATTATAACTAATCTTTGCAGATGCCATCCTCTCGTTTTCCGCCATAGCTTTGGCTATGAAGGTTCCTCGAATTGCGGACAATAAGTCACAGCAGGTTGCTGCGGTCATTTGGGGGGCTGTCCTATTCGGCACGTACAGTTTCCTCCTTAACGTTTTCAAAGCTAAGAATGGCGGCTACCCTTTCTTTCTTCCTCCGTTCTAGGCCTCTGCCACCTCCCCCCCCCCCTTCAAATGGCTACTTGCTCGTATCTGGAATCGGAAAAAAGTGGGAATGAACCCCCCATCTCTATCTCTTATTCCATGCAATCTCCCAAATGTACACATATTCCCAACACTACTGGTCGACCAGATGTGAATATTATGAGGTTACACATCTGTTGCCGTGGCTCCTACAGTCTTGAAATGCACCCATTTGTCCTAAATGGCGTCCATTATGGAGTGGCATCATAGGTGCAATACCCACCTGTCTTTTTATTATTTAGGCCCTTTGGTGTTAGCAATTACAACAGAACTATATCTCAAACTCAAATTCCAAGTCAATGAGGGAATAAAAGGCTCCCAAGATCATTACCACCGTCGCACCATTGATACTTTCATTTCAACTTGACTAGTTTTTACTAGCGACGAAGCTGTTTAGTGATTTAGGATGCACTCTAACTGTATGTGACCAAGGAGGCGTTAGCCCAGACTTGAATCTATGACTGAAAATTAACTTGGATACCATTTAGCACTTTTGATGTCAGTAAACCAATCTAGAAATTTCACGTACAGTAGCAAAACAAATTTCAAATCACCGGTTAAGCGGAGTAGGTACTAATAGGAGGACCTCATAGAGCACTACATCCCGACGGGTATCCATGTCCGATGTGGAATACTGTGTCCTGAAATAGTTACAACGACCAATTTTTCTCATTTAGCCAACACCACCAAATTCACACTCGAATCTAAAAGGCAGGGATTTATTGGGAGGGTTGGAAGAAGGGCAAGAATAATAGAGAACCCCCCATGTCACCAACAAGTGAAAATGCTAGCAGAGTGCTGGCTTCGACCTTGTCGGGAACAACACTCCTGATTTTCGTGCAGCTAGCTTCTAGACTCTTTATTTTTCTTTCGAATCAGATGGTTCTGAGGAGTTTATCGCCATCCATCCTGGGGATTGCAGCTCAACTCGAATTGTTCTTGATCTCAATTCTATATTTCTCCAGAGAAAGCATACGAACGGCAATCCAGCGACAGCCTGCTCAATTTTTTTCCCCCAATTCAGGAGGGAGAGATGCAGATATTAATTCGGCCAATGGGGACCAGAAAAGCTCCCAGGCTCAGTCAAATGCATCTCAGTCAATTGTGAACATGTCGTACCTGAGTCCCGGCATCGGCATCCTATTAGCCACCACATTTGCTGCATGTTACATGCATTTTGCTCCCTATGAGGTTTCGGAGACACCATTTTACCAAATAAGCGTCATAGTCACGGCAATTGCCTCGCTTATTGAACTTAGCACCGAGCCCTTCTTTGCTGTAGTACAGAACTACATGCTATATAAAGAACGAGCGGCTGTTGAAATCAGCGCAGCATTTATGAAAAGTCTGGCTGTATGTGGTGTATCCGTATGGGCTGCCTGGCATAGTTACAGTCTTGGTGCTCTTCCCTTCGCACTTGGTTACCTATCCTATTCATTTACTCTCGTCTGCGGCTACAGCCTAGTTCTGATGCACATGCGTGGAGGCTGGGACTTTTCGTTCAGGCTCACTCGAATAAAATCAAGGTACGTCATCAAGATCAAGATTTCTATCGACCTTCCTCAGCGCTAAATATTTCCCAGCAATATATCAGAGTATTTTGCAGGCAGATTTCCATGGCCGCTAATCTCATTATCAAGCAATGTTTTCTTTCAATCGATCGTGAAACATTTGTTAACGCAAGGCGACTCTATGATCCTAGCGGCTTTGGCAAGTCTAGAGGATCAAGGCATATACTCCCTGGCTTCAAATTATGGTGGTTTATTGGCCCGTATTCTCTTCCAGCCAATAGAGGAGAGTAGCAGAGCGCTTTTTTCGTCACTTCTCAGTTCGAAAGTGTCCGAGAACCAAGGGGCGAATATCAAGGCCGCAAAATCGCATCTGGTTAACATCATGCAGGGCTATATGGTATTGTCAATCTTGATTTTCCCCCTAGGCCCGGCGTTAGTTCCTAGAATACTCCATATATTAGGTGGACAGAGGTGGACGGTTCCTGATGTCGATACCCTACTCGCTCTCTACTGCTATTATATACCATTTCTCGCGTTCAATGGCATCAGTGAGGCATTTGTTTCGTCGACAGCAAGCCCTGCAGAAGTTCGAAAGCAGGCTGGGTGGATGAGCTTGTTTTCTACTTGCTTTGCCCTCGCCGCCTACCTCTTCTTGCAAATCGGAGGCCTCGGTGCCCGAGGTTTAGTATATGCGAATATTGTCAATATGGCTGTTCGCATAATCTGGAGCTTTTCTTTCATTCGGCGGTACCTACGTCAGTATAAACAGGACTTAGCCTTGGCTGAGTTCAGTGTGCGGCCTCACACGTATGTCGCGGGGGCCGTAATTACTGCTGTACTTTATCAAGCAGAGTTCTGGCCCAAATTTAATGGAGCATTAACCCCATTCATCTTTGGAGCTATCTATATACTCTTGGTGTAAGTGAACCAACCATCTTTCGCTTAAGAACAGGCTCTGATCAATATTCCTTCTATAGATTCTATTTCGAAAGAGACTACATAATCCCCCACTACACTCGAGTGTATCAACTTTTAAGGACAAGAGTCAGGAGATCAAAATCAGATTGATGTCAATATCAATCATCAAAAGTGATTTTCGTGGCCGTCTTGCCGGAATCAACATCTTTGAAAAAAGCGCCGTAAGCGTCATGTTGCTTCTTTTTAACGGTAGACCCAAATTTCAATAGATCTTCTGGCACCTCTTGCTTCGCCGCTTTAAGGACGTTGATTAATCTTGTATTATCAGTCAGTAAGATTCGGAGGAAATGCCCTTCGTGCAAGTTGTTTAGACAAGACAGATAGGGAAAGGTCACTTACGCGCCAGATTGAGCTTTGTCGGCCTCTGTAAACAGAGTTATAGCATGACCCGTGGCTCCAGCACGACCGGTTCTGTTGGTGGGGGGAGACAAAAGGCATTAGCTTGAAAACTTCACAATTGACGGGCAGGACTTAGCTTACCGGCCAATTCTATGTACGTAGTCTTCAACCGTGAGAGGGAATGTAACATTGATGACCAACTTTACAGAAGGTATGTCGAGGCCACGAGCTGCCACATCAGTTGCAACAAGAACGGTAGCATTCCCTGTTTTGAAGGCGTCAAGGCTTTTAAACCGCTCTTGCTGGCTTAAATCACCATGAATACCAGCAACTTTGAACCCTTTAACCCGAAGAAGTCTCTCAATACGCATCGCTTCCTTTTTGTACAAACAAAACACGAGAACTTTGTCTGATGTTCCCCGTTGGTGTTTGTTGAGTAGCTGTACAAGTCTCTGCTCCTTTTCCATCTGCTGGACCACCTCAACGACTTGCTTGATCCTGGTATTCGCACGTGGGTCTGCGGAAGGGTCACCCCCAATGGTAACAGTCACTGGGGATTTCATGAAGGACGATGCAAGATCTCTGACAACAGGCGGCCAAGTTGCGGTAAACATCACAGTTTGACGTTTCGATACTGGCATAGCGCGGATAATGTCCTTTATATCCTGTTCAAATCCTTTATCCAGCATACGATCTGCTTCGTCCAAAACAAGATACTTGACTTTACCAAGATCCAGGGAGCCATCATTCTGGAGATCTTTCAGTCTCCCTGGTGTAGCCACGACTATAGCCGCCGACTTAAGAGCCTCACGCTGTTCATCTTTTCTAACTCCGCCAAATATACACGCCACCCGAATATCTACCTGTTCCGCAAACTTCAGGATCTGGTCATGAATTTGCATCGCAAGCTCCCTTGTGGGTGAGATTATCACTGCATTTGGCCGGAAAGGTTTCTGTTTACTCTTGCTCGAGTCGAGTATCTTTTTCAGGCATGGTAGGCCAAACGCAAGAGTTTTCCCACTTCCAGTTTCCGCAATTCCAATCACATCGCGGCCAGAGAATAAGAGCGGCCATGTTGCGGATTGAATAGCAGTAGGGGATGTGAAGGAACTCAAAGGATCATACAACCCGTCATTGCAATGAGGCAGGTGAGCGAACGAAATTATCGGACGAAGAGGGAGTGTATCGGGTAAAGATTCCGTTGTTTTGATGGAGTTCTTAGAGAGGAACTGGTCGATGTCGGCTTGAGGAATATCGTCGAGTGCAGGAGATTGCACGTATGGTGGAGCCTTGCCCTCGTCGTCTTTTGAGGGCTTCGTTTTTTTAGATTTTTTACTCGGCCTGGAGTCCCCTCCCGAGTGATTTTGATGCTCACGTTTCGTCATGTCGAGGCAGCTTCTTACCCTACTAATTCTCAATCAGTAGTTGAGATGAGGCAGGCTGTATGGAGGAGGTATGGAGTATGTTACTAAAAGTTTCTTGTTCCCTTTTTTTTTTTTTTTTCGGAAGCGCAAAGGGGAAAAAAATTCTTCTTTGCCAGCCAATCAAGCTCTGCACTATCTTCCCGAGCGGCTGACCTAACCTTGAGCGCCCTAGCGTGGAGTTTGGAGGAACAGACTTCAGACCGAGAAGTACCTCCAGTTACGGAGTACAGGTATCAATGATAACACTTGGTCTAGACCCTAGTCTCTACACTGAAGTAAAGCTATTCACAACTTTTCTTGGAAAAGACGCAGCTTAGAAAATATAACCGATCTACGGGTTCTTAGAAAGTACTGATACAAGACACCAAGGCTTTGAAATTGCTGAGAAGTATATCACCATGTGCAATATTTCCATTCCCCTTCACTGAATCCCCGCCAGCCAAAACACTCTGATACAGGGCAAACTCCAGGCACAATAGCCACCCCTAAGAATGGCCAAGTTGTATCGAGTAGGGCCTTAAGTTGTACCAGAGATCTGATGGGAAAGATAAGCTTTAATTGATCGAGATTGAAAAGTATAAAATCACAACTAGGAAATATTGTAGGTATCAATTATATCTGCGAGACGTGATGCCTCCTCGGAGTAGTTTACGGGTTTTGCTGATGAGATCTGGTATCGAATGCTGATATCAGGATTAGCATGATAATAAATGTTGTGTGTCCTGGGGGAGTGACTCACCGTTGCTGATCGGCGTAATGTTCGAGTTTCGCCCGACATCTGAAGACCCAGGTTCGACAAGTTGCACTCTGAAACACATCGGCCGCTGCCTTTTCGTCGTTCTGGCGCAATTCCATCAAATTGTCCGCCGTTGTGCCCATCATTAGTTTGCCAACATCATCGAAGCAACTCAGGTACAACTGTCCAGTATGATCACTGACACTAATGAGCATTATGTACCTATACTCTGGTCGTGGGTGAGTCTTGTCGCAGCGTTCGCATCGCCATTGGCCGGGATCCAGTTCTGTGACCTTCTTATTGCAGCCATCTGAGAGACAGGCTGGATAACACATATTGTCCTGCTTGATATAGATGACGGTACCTCTCAGGGAGAAGTAAGTTGCCTCTTCCGACATACCAAGTTGCTCATCATGAACCTGGGCAATGGTCTTGAACTGATCAGACTTTGCTGTGGAGGTCGTGGCCAGAGACATAGACGCATGTGAGGTGAAGTTTTCATCTCTGCCTTGTGCATCATACCAGCCCTTGAGCCTATGAGCTTCCTCGATATCAGGGTCAACGGTCACCGAGCCCGAACTAAGCAAGCTCAAGCTCCGTCCCCCAAAATCAGAAACTTTGGCTCCTTTAAACGCAACTACTGATTCCGGCACAGCACTGAAATTTAATGCTGTAGAGCCCCAGATAGTTAAGCGAACTGAAAACCCGGTATTATCGACCAAAGTAAGCTCACGCTTATCATAAGGCTTATGTGTCGTTTTCGATACAATCTGCGTAGTATCCCCGACCTCTTTCAAGACTCCAATCACGTCGATTGTGGTATCTTTTTCGACAGACTGAAGGTCGCCAATGGGGGTAAAATTGAAGCGAACCTGCGGAACGTCGGCTTGATCCTCTGCCTAATTGAAAATTAGATGGTTGTACTCTGAAGCACACGACCTTACTTACCTTTTCAACAATGGTATCCTTCTCAAATATAAGCTCATAATCGTTGTTGAGGTTTGTAAATTGTTTCTTGGCCATTTGCACACGGCATGGGCTAGTAATATAGTAGACGCCGCCTTCTTGGAAAACGTCATAGAGAGCCGTACATTGGTCATTGAAACTCGTAGCACGAATCTCGCCACTGTCATCCAATAGGTTCACACTAAAAAGTTTACCTTCTCCGCCACCGTTTCTGTTGGGCCAGGTCTTAATATTAGACTTGCTCGTGCAGCGGGCCTTGATTGTCCACTTGTGGGCATACGGAGAGATTGCTTCAATAGGATATATGGTAGCATGTGCTGAAGTATGGGCTGGTTTGACGTGCTGGGCACGACTACTGATTGGGGGTGGCGCACTCTGAATTTTATTACCGTAGAATCCGCCGCTGGAGATTGTTGTAGGTTGTGGTTTGTCGTCCTCTTCTACCCTGCTTTCCAGAGGCTTTGGTTCGCCGATTTTGTCGACCTCACCCAGTTCCTGCAAGACCTCGAGATCGAGAATTATGAGAATTCTTCATCACAATTAGCAAACCAAATCCGACACACCAACATATGCCACTCACTTTTTCCCTTTGACCGAGTTAGCCTGAAAGGATTTCAATCGAACAAAACAACCCTTGCGAAGTAAACCATCTGTGACAAAATGATTGGCTTCTGTACACGTAAGTAGGTTAGAGGGAGTTTGAGCTGGCTTTTAAGTGGTCTTCTACAGAACGTACGAATTGCGAGCATAGTCTGGACATAGTTGGATATATCGCTAAAGACAGCCCTATAGCGTTCTTGTTGGTTTGCCTGAGGAGGCAGTGGCTTGATCTGAACGCATTGGACGATGGGCTCGCGGATCTGGGGCTTTGTGTCGTCAAAAATAGCACTGTAGGATGGTCAATATGAATTGTGGTGTGCAAGAACTGGGATGAAATAGACAAGAAGGAAGATGAGAAAGAAGAAAGAGATAAATTACCTAAGTGCCCCTACAGAGATATGCGATGCCGCTTCTGAAGCCATGGCCTTGGAAATTTGATGCTTCTCTTGTTGTACTTGGCAGTTTGCACTGAAATCAAGTGAGAATCAGAAACGACGCCCAGATACAGCGAATGGTAAATCTGAATGTTGAATGCTGATATTCAAATCCTCGTCAAGGAGGTATTAATGCAGTGGAAATTAAGCAAGAGTGCTCGTACAGGAAAATCTCAGATGTTGTTGAAAGCTTCGAGGTTGTTGTGGACGCGTCTCATCAAATATTATGGACGCGGTGGGCACGCGTTAAGTGGTCACACCCCACTAAAAAATCCCTAGTATGGTATTGTATTTAGGCAACCCAGTATCAGTCTTAGAATAGAAGGCGGTCGGTCGGTGCCCCACCCAAGAGTCCCGGCCCTAGAAACTTGAAGCTCTCTACCCCGCCTACCAATTTATCTTCGAAAGTACCTAGGTAGCTCATTACTATAAGCAACCTACACGTCTCAAGACCGAAGGGGCCATCAAGCAGCTTTCACTTATCACTGACCTTTCTCCAGAACAGGATTTGTTATTCGGACAGTCGCTCAGCTATCGAACTAGCTACTAATTTGCAAATCCTTGCCGGAGCTCCGTTCTGGAACCCTCGTATTATCCGTCTATCATTCATTCTAACATGGCGTCGTGTCCTCATATTCATTCCCAAGGCAGGTTGAAACATGTCTCTCTATTCTTAGGATTTCTGGAAAGACAGCATGTTAATAATATTCTATTTTCTCCAGACCTTCAACCGCCGTCCACTTCACAAGTTGTATACCGTGAAGATTGTACACAATGCTTTGACTCAATTGTGAGTATCTGTCCCAATTCATTCCTTAAACCCTCATTCCTAAACATGGTATCAGGATAGTGAGTCTGGTCTCAATGTTTGCCTTTCCTGCTTCAATGGTGGTTGTGCCGGGTCTGGGAATCATGCACAACTGCACTTTAAACGCTTCGGCCACCCACTAGCGCTTAACATCAGAAGAACTCGAAAAAAGGTACAGGTAGGTTACATCTACTGCATCGCATGCATACTTCCCTGACACTTATACTAATGTAGCGTAAATGCAGCGGGATGAGCCTCCACAGAAGATTTCGAAGCTGGCAATTGCCGCGGAGACCGATGACGACCGCTATGACACAAGCACGCGCATTATCTGCTATTCCTGCTATCAGGATAATATTGATCCAGCAAGTGACAACATTGCCTTTGTTATTGAAGGTGTTATGAAGGCTACAACCTTCTCGAAGAGGGAAGAAATCAAGGCATGGGAGCAGGAGTTCGTTCCTTGTGATCATACCCTGACTTTGATTCAGCAGAAGCGGGAAACCGTTGAATCGAAAGGTATGATATGACTCATAGATACATTCTCTCTCTTTATCTCTCTCGGGCCTGCATATTCTAACCAATTTTAAGACCTGAGCCAGTGTTCAATGTGTGATTTAAAAGAAAATCTGTGGCTTTGTTTGGAATGCGGGAATATCGGTTGCGGACGCAGCCAGTTTGGGGGTATCGGCGGCAATTCACATGCTCTTGCACATTATGATTTAGCATCTCATGCCATTGCGGTCAAGTTGGGCTCAATAACCGCGGATGGTTCAGCGGATATCTATTGTTATAAGTGCAACGAGGAGAGAACCGACCCTAATCTGGCCACGCATCTTGCTCATTGGGGAATTAATCTAGCGGGCCGTGAGAAGACAGAGAAAAGCCTGATGGAGATGCAGGTTGAGCAGAATTTAAAATGGGATTTTTCAATGACCTCGGAAGACGGCCACGAACTCCCTCCTATTTTTGGACCAGGGTTGACTGGTTTGTCCAATCTGGGAAATAGCTGCTACCTGTCAAGTGTTGTTCAGTGCCTCTTTGATATACCGGATTTCCAACAGAGGTATTATCTTCCCGGCGATGAACCACCATTCTCCGAGTTTCCGGCTGCGGATCTCGAAACACAGTTGCGAAAATTGGCCGACGGCACCCTCTCTGGCCGCTACTCTCGGCCTGACGAGAACGCTGTAGCCGCCACGGATAAAACAAGGGTTCCGCATCAAAAGGGCTTAGCGCCGGCGATGTTCAAGTACCTCATCGGCCGTGATCATGCGGAATTTTCAACAATGAGGCAACAGGATGCGTTTGAGTTCCTACTACATGTCTTCAAGCATATCAACCTGTCTAGGCATGCAGCGGGAGCGACTAATCCAGTGGAGTCTTTCAGATTCTGTATGGAGCAGCGCCTCCAATGCCTACAGTGTAAAAAGGTTCGCTATAAGACCGATGAGCAAGATAATATCTCGATGCCTGTTCCTGCCCACCGACTAGCAGGATCGAGCGGGCTTAGCCCTCTGGGCCCGTTTGCACCGGTAACTCTTTTTGACTGCCTGGATGCGTTTACGGCCGAGGAAACAGTTGACCTTCGTTGCCCCTCCTGCGATAGCCAGGAAAAGTTCTCAAAGCGATCCTCTTTCAAAACGCTACCTGCACATCTGGTAGTGAATGCTCGCCGGTTCGAGTTGATCAACTGGGTACCCACCAAACTAGATATTCCTGTGGAGGTGAACGACGATCCTCTTGATCTGAGTCAATATCTTTCTCCCACTCCCAGCGGGCAGGAGGAGCTGCTCCCCGAGGACAAGTCTTCCGAGAGCGCCTGGGAGGCTAATCAGGAGATCTTGAATCAACTCCTTAGCATGGGTTTTCCTCAAGTAAGGTGTGAAAAGGCTCTTTGTTTCACGGGAAACTCGGATGCTGAGGCAGCGATGAACTGGCTTTTATCTCACATGGATGACCCTGATATTGATGAACCCATCAATGTAAAGCAACGCACTGGGACTGCTAGTAATTTGCCGCAAGACCCAGCGAAATTGATCCAGATGTCCGAGATGGGTATCGATGAGCCCCGGGCAAGGAGAGCATTGGCCGCGACGGATGGTGATGTCAGCCGGGCTATTGATTGGGTTTTTAGCCATCCAGATGATGTAGATGTGAGTACCGAAGAGCAGCAGCCAGGTGGGGATGGACAAATTCCTGGAGCCGATGATACTCCCGCAAGATATCAATTAAGGTCAATTATTTGCCATAAAGGCGCTTCAGTACATGCTGGGTAAGACTATCAAAGCCTTGTTTGATTTCTCGTTCCTTGATGTTAACCGAGCGCTAAAATGGGGTTTTTAGGCATTATGTTGCATTTGTGCGAAAGGAGATTCCTGGGAAACCGGGTCTATCGTGGGTGATGTTCAATGATGAAAAGGTTGTCGAAGTTAATGATATACATGAGATGAAAAAATTCGCCTATTTGTATTTTTTCTCACGGGTGTGAATGGGCATGTTTTACAGTCATCGCCATGTGTGCCTAGCCATATGAAAAGGCAATAGATCAATAGCTAAACTAATATATCGAAAATAGCTAATTAACTCTTGTGTTGAAAAGTCTATTAGCATTTAAATGCTTTAGAACTCTATCATATATATGTTAAATTAAGTCAGAGACATCCTGCCTGCATCCCTAAGTATACTGGCGCCCTTTGATCAGCCAATCCATAGTAGCAAGTATACCAACCACCTGCCTCCACCCTGCAGGACATGCCTGTCAATATATTCCTTTGGATATCGTCACATATATTGGACCAAGAAACCTGAAGTGATTCTCAAGGACAGTTCATCATTATCCTAGTTGTGAGCTGCAATATATAGATATTGTCAGGGTGCAGGGTCGGACTCAAGTGTTCATTGACTAGGAGCTAACTAGACAGAACAGGCAGAACAGCAGGTACTAGATAATAGACAGGATGTAGCTTGAAGAGCTATAATAAGATTAGGAATAATATAGCTTAAATATAAGAATAGAGGTAGATAATTAGAATAAAATTTAATTAAATAAGTATTATAATTTTATACTATAATAGTATCTCCTTTTTTAGATTTAAACTTTATTAAAATTTAAGAAGGGAGTAGCTAGAGCTTCTTAAAATAATAAAAATAATAATTATTTATTAATTAATAAATATTTTCTAGATATTTAATAAATTTTTTAATTAAATTATTATATTTAATTTATTTAATAATATATTATAATTTAAATTTATTATAATCTTAATAAATTTATTAAAAATTAAGAATTTTTTTAACTTCTTATTCTTCTAATTTTTTAATTTTAATAAATAATAGTAAATTAAGATATTAATTAAATAAAGAATTATTAATAATAAAATAGAATAAAAATATATTAAATATAAAATAAATTTTTATATTTTTAAAAAATTTAAATTTATAAATATATAAATTAATAATCTTTTTAATATAATATAATATAATTTAAAATTCTTTTAATCTAATTTTTTTTATAAATAAAATATTTAAATATTATAAATATTTAATTAAATTTCTTATCTTATAATATAATAATATATAGATTATTTTTAATAATTAATTTATACTTTATAATAAGCTTAAGTAAATAAAATCTTAATATAAATAAATTTATAAATCTTATATATAATATTAATAAATTTCTTAATATTTTTTTTTATAAAATAAATAATAAAATAGCTTAATTTAAATTTTAATATTAAATAAAATCTATAATTAATTATAAATAATAATATTCTTATAGACTTAATATAAATAAAGTTAGTAATAAATTTAATTATTAATAATTATTTAAATTAATTATTTTATAAATATAATATATATATTTATAAGTATTATTCTAAAATAATATTAATATATTTAATTAAATTATTAATTTTAAAGTAATAAATAATAAATAATAAATTATAAAATTTTAAGTAGGCTATTAAATATTTCTAGAAAATAATAATAAATTAGATTTTATAATCTAATATAATTATTTTAAGAATATTATAAAGTTTTTAAATATATTTAAAATATAGATTAGCTATATTTTTAATATAAAAGATAAAATACTTTATCTTTATTAAATAATTAATTATAACTAGAATAGTATTATAATTATTACTTAATAATAAATATATAATAAAGTCTATACTTATATCTTACTAGATATATTTAAAAATTAATAAAAATCTTAATACTTCTTACTTTACTTCTTAGAAAAGAATAATTTAATAGTAAAAATAATAATTCTAGATCTATTAATTTATATATTTATAAATCTTAAGCTAGAAATATTTATATAATATTAATTTATATATCTTAATTTTTCTAGAATATTTAATAATAAGACTTTTATAATAGAATCTTAATATTTTAGCTTTTATCTTATTATAATTAAGTATATAAAGTTAATCTTAATATCTTAAATATAATTTAGTATATTTATAATTAGCTAGTATAATATTAGGATATTTTAATAAATTATTCTTTAAAATAGACTAGAGCTTCTTATCTTAAGAATAAGTTTTATTAAATAGTAATTATAATATTAATAGCAGGAAAATTAGTTTATTAATAGTAGATTATTTAATAAAGTATACTTAATATTAGCTATTAATATTTAATCTTAGATTAGTAGTAGTCTTAAGTAATAAATTTTTAGATTTTAGAATAATCTAACTCTAATAAAGAAGTTATTTATCTTCCTCTTTAAATAAATTTTTTAATCTCTTAATTAGTATATTAAGTTTAATATCTAATTTTCTAGAGTAATAATATATTTAGAAATTAAATCTTAATAAAAACTTAAATTAGTAGACTTATTAATAATTTAGTAGCTTAATTAATATAAAATATTTTAAATTTTTATAATTTATAATAATCTTTATAAATAATAAAGTCTTTTTTAATTTAAAATATTATTTTTTAAAATAATAAATAATAACTAGTAATTCTTTATTATAAATCTTATAATTATATTTTATTATAAAATATTTTTTAGAGAAAAATATAATAAAATATAATATATTTTTATTATTATATTATAATAGTACTCTAGTAAATATATAATTAAAAAATTTTAATATTAAAATATTTATAAATATTTCTTAATAAATAAGTATTTAATTAAAGTTAATATCTTTCTTGATTAGATTAACTAGTAGTCTAATAATCTTTAAAAAATTATAGATAAATTAATAATAAAAGTTCTTAAAATTAATAAAGACTTAAATATTAGTTAGATAAATTAATATTTCTTATTTAATAATTATTTTTATTTTATTAAGATTTATTTAGAAGCTATCTTTATTTATAATTAATTTTAAGAACTTTATTTTATATATAAAAATTTTATATTTATTAAATTTAATATAAAGTCTTATTATTTATAAATATTCTAATATTTATTAAATATAATAAGTATACTTTATATAAGTTTAGCTATAAATTAGAATATTATCTAGATATATAATATAAAAGATATTTAAATAATTATATAAGATTTTATTAATAAATCTTTAGAATAATATTAGGACTCTAGTAAACTTAAATAATATTATTAAGAATTTAAATAAATTTAATTAAATTTAAAAAATAATAAGATATTCTTATTCTTTCTTAATCTATAAATTATTAAAAGTAAAAATAATATTAATTTTTAAGAAATATTTTTTTTAAATTATTTAATATCTTTTTTATTAATAATAAGAAATAATAATCTTTTATAATAATTATATTTAAGACTTAATAATCTATATAAAATTATAATCTTTCTCTAGACTTTTTTATAAATAAAATAGAAAATATAATAAGAAAAAAACTAGAATAAATAAAATCTTTTTTTAAATTTTCTTTAATTTATTTTTTTAAAATTTTTAATTTATCTTAAAATATATTATACAAGCTCTTAAATAGTAAAGTCTTTCTAAATAATAATTTAATCTTATAATTATTAAGTTAGTAGAGTAGGAGGTACTTAGCCTTCTTTAGTAAAAATATATTATAAAATTTAGTAAACTTAGGGGGTAATTACTCTTATAACTTAAATTTAATAATAATAATAAGATTTAGAGTGGCTTTAATATCTATAATAAAGATAATAAATATTAGTATTTATAGTAAGTATATATAATATAAATAATAATTAAGACTCTAGTAATATCTTAATTCTTTAAAAATTTAAGATAAGAATTAAGATATTAGAAAAAAGTTTTTAATAATATATTATATAATATTAAAATCTTTATAAATTTTAAAGATATATTATAGTACTTTTTATAATAAGGGCTTTTAAATAAAATAATATAATTAATAAATCTAATCTAGAGATTATAGGTCTTTAATTAAAATAAGCTAAAAATAATAAAAAAATATATAAATTAGATTATAAGTGTCATGGTGGGCAGGCTGGCAGTAGGTGTAGCTAATAATAGGGTATATATTCAGGCTATCTATGTACAAGTCTAATAGGTAGGGATTAGATTAAGATAAGGATATAGCTTGAAGAGCTATAATAGAATTAGGAGTAATATAGTTTAAATATAGGAATAAAGATAGGTAATTAAGGTAAAATCTAATTAAATTAGTATATAATTATATTATAATAATATTTTCTTTCTTAAATTAAACTTTAATAAAGTATTCCTAGAGTCCAGGCTTTTTAAAGTAGTAATAATAAAAAATAATAATATATTTAGTAGCATTCTCTAAGTAGCTAGTAAGAATTTTAATAATAATAAGGTATCTAATTTATTTAATAATATATTTTAAATATAAGTAACTATCTTAATTATAATAGTTCTAGTAAGAATTAATTACTTCCTTAATCTCTTATTTCTTAATACTGTCAGGGTGCAGAGTCAGATTCAGATATTCATTGACTAGGAGCTAACCAGACAGAATAGTAGAATAGTAGGTATCAGGTAATAGATAGGATGTAGTTTAAAGAGCTATAATAGAATTAGGAATAATATAACTTAAATATAGGAATAGAGATAGATAGTTAAGGCAGAATCTAATTAAATAGATATTATAATTTTATACTATAATAGTACCCCCCTTCTTAAAATCAAGCTCTATTAAGATTTAGAGAGGGAGTAACTAGAGCTTTTTAAAATAATAAAAGTAATAATTATTTATTAATTAATAAGTATTTTTTAGATATTTAATAGGCTCTTTAATTAATTTATTATATTTAATTTATTTAATAATATATTATAGCTTAAATTTACTATAATTTTAATAAATTTATTAAAAATTAAGGACTTCCTTAATTTTTTATTCTTTTAATTTTTTAACTTTAATAAGTAATAGTAGATTAGGATATTAATTAAGTAAAGAGTTATTAATAATAAAGTAGAGTAAAAATATATTAAATATAAAATAGATTTTTATATTTTTAAGTAATTTAAGTTTATAAATATATAGGCTAATAATTTTCTTAATATAATATAATCTAAAATTCTTCTAGTCTAATTTTTTTTATAAATAAAATATTTAAATATTATAAATATTTAGCTAGATTTTTTATTCTATAATATAATAATATATAGATTATCTTTAATAATTAACTTA